GTAGTGACACTGACTTACAGGGTTCAGCTGCTACTGTTGCAAGTATTAAGAGAAATATACTTACGTGTAGAATACACTTCAGCCTCTAATAATCATCCTTCCTTTTCTTCCTGGCCCCCCCCAGTACATAATCTCTGACGTGACATCACTGGGGAAAAGCACGCGGACTTTGCAAAGAGCAATAAAATGTGTGCTGTAAAAATGTATTTTAGTAAATGTGAATAGCTGAAGAAAACCCTCTAAAAATAGCTACCTCGTAACTTGGCTTACAGAGAAAGCTCATTGTAACATTGTACGTTCACCTCACCTTAAATTACTGCCCTGTGTAAGGTTTTACTTTGAACTTAAAAACCCCTTTCTCTGTTCAGCCCTTGGAGGAAGCTGAAGGCCCACATGAAAGAAGTGATGCACTAAAAGACGTAAAGGTAAAATTTTTCTGTCTAACCCGCAGTTACAAAACTGCCCACGGCCGTACAGCCTGTGCAGCTACACTGAGCCTTTGACAAGCTGCCAGTGCACACTATGCGAACGTGACACCGGCGTGTGATTTTGTAGGCATTTGTAGAGTAAGAATCTCCAAAAAGTTGTCTTAAACAAGACTATGTCAAGAGAATGGCAAGAAACTGCTTCCATATTTTTGTTTCTGATTGTTTAACCATGTGTTAGATCTGGTTGGCAGCTGTAGCTGGTTTATTCCTACCTTAATCTGATTTGGTTTAACATGAACTTGTAAGTGTAAAAATATTACACGATACATAGCTCACTCTCAGTTTTCTCAAATACCGTGTCCCCCTATAGGCATGCAGTGTATCTCTAAAATCATTCCACCCAAATTTTGTTTAATTAGACAAAGCATAGCAGTAGTTCTAGGGAAAGGGCTCCTCTCCTGAGGCCTTCATCTGCAGCCTGTTCCCAGGTGGGGTTTGAATTCTGGCCTCAGATCTCAGATAAACTTTGCTTTAGGTAAACTCAAGGAATTTTTTTTTATTTTTTTTTTTTTTAATTGGGATGCCAGTTTCTGCATGCCCCGAGTGGTTTTGGCAGATGCCATTTTCTATCCAAGTAGGAAATAGAATAGTAAGCTGAGTAACAATAAAAGTTTCACAGGGTGTCTTTTCAGCTGTCCCTCTGTATGTTAACTTTTTTTTTGTAGAGCAGACTAATTTTAACTAACTTTGTGTTCTGATTTTCCCTAAATAATTTTATTGTTTCAAGGCTGATCTAAATATTACCTAAATTATCACTTGCTTGCTTTTTTTTTTTTTTTTTTTTTTTTTTTTAGATTATGGAAATTGATATTGCTGCCAGATTGGACTCTGCTAATAACGACAGACTTACAGCACTAAAAGCAGTTACAAGCTTCGGCATGCCTATAGAAGAGTTTGATTCTGAGGGTGCGTTCTCTTGGTACTTGCAGTTCTGATGTGCCTGTAACTGTGTCAATTTCTCAATCCCTCTGCATCGTCAGCCATACCATGTTCTATATCATAATGCAAGTAAATGTACTCTCTTACCACTTAGGACTTTCTTTTCTTCATTAAACAGAGGCTGAAATCTTTCAGAGGAAACTTGATGAAACAACAAAGCTTTTGAGAGAACTCCAGGATGCTCAAAATGAACGACTAAGTACAAAACCACCCCCCAATATGATTTGTCTTCTGGGTCCATCCTACAGAGAGATGCACTTGGGTAAATACACTTTCTCTGATCATTCCTGCAGAATTGATCAAGTCCCAACTTGTATCGACTCCAACAAAGACAGAGGTTTAGCAGTTACAGTGCAGAATATGCGCCCTGTTAGGCCTAGAAGATTAATGTAGGGGTTTGTGTATGTAAAGCCAGATGAAAGTCTTAAACAGGAATTACAAGTATTTCCTCTTTATTAATAAATTTCCCTAGAAGTGATTGGTGAGCGTTCTCTGTAATGACAACCAAACACCTCTAACGCCGTGATTTTTACAGTGTGTTTGAACAGGGATTGCCTAAAGATTGCCAAGTTCTCACTGTAAGGCTACTGTAAAGTTTTATTCCGGGTTTGATCTAGTTATCTATTTTATTCTACCAATGAATACCGATTATTCATTCTTTAATTATTTGAGGAAGTTGCTTGTCTCACAGGTCCGTCAGTCACAGAGCCTGGGTTAATGCAACCTTCTAAGGCGGGACTGGGCGCAGAGGGCGTCTGGTCTGCAAGTACAGCTAAGCTGTAACCACTGCACGCGGTCTGAGACAACCACCTTGCTGTCATAGGATGAATTCCCCATTATTGGAGAAATATTACCAAGTTGGTATTACACCAAGTCTAAACCAGATCGAGTATTGCCTTTCTTAAAAAGTTTAAGTATTTACAGCTTCCTTCTTGAAGGAAAACCACATTTGTAACAGCAAGAACAGCCTCTCTGGTTTATATAGACACGAATGCCAAATCCCAAAAGCCAGCTATTACTGACACAACTGCGGCGTGGCTGCCCCCAGACCTCTCCCAGCCTCTGTACTGGCGCGACCCAAGTGTCGCAAGCTTACGCTTTAACTGCTGGTGCTTCTGGACAGCAGCAAGCCTTGGTCAGCGGCTGCTGGCTCCTCCTGTTCTTCTTCCCCATCTCTCTTACAGTTCCCAGTACACCGTGCATGATTGCGCAGAGTACAACAAAACTCTTGTGCTGCAGAAACATTATTCCGTGGTTCCATTCGTACTTAAATAATGAAACTGTTTACAGGGTGAAGGGCTCACTTCAGTGGTTTTGTGTCTATTCAGAGCATACAAATACATCCACTTATCTTTTCTAGCGGAGAGAGTAACCAACAACCTGAAAGAACTTGCACAACAAGTGACTCCAGGTGACATCGTTAGCACATACGGAATCCGGAAAGCGATGGGCATTTCAGTTCCTTTGCCTGATACAGAAGACAGCTGGGTGGATTTGACAGAGGGTGAGTACACAAAGATGTATTGTAGCATCTGTTCAACTAAACCAAACCCACATCTGCAAGCCATTAGCCTGGCTTGTGGTAGAACTTGCAGGAACTTGGTTCCAACTTTCAGTTCTTCTCCCCTTTTTAAAATTCTGTTTCTAATGGAAAGTTGCTGTGGTTGGTCTTGGTCCAAAATTAATCTTTTGGATGTATGGAACTCTGGTTCAGCTACATGAAGTAGCTATTTTACCATTCATTTTATAGCACTGCCAGACTTTGAAGCTTGGCAATGCATTCAATTTTAGTTTTTTCCACTGGGCATGAAGTTACAAGAGAAGAGTTAAAATTCCTCACTTGCTAAAATGAGGACAGCATGCTTCCTTCTCCTCTGAGCTTTTGGCTGTGCGCTCCTTTTGCTTAATTTGGCCAGCTGTAGTGCGTTGTAAGTTGACAGCATCAGTTCAGCTCAACTCATCCAGCCAAAAGTAACTACTGGTTTTGCTGCACGAAGGAGTCAGGTCAGTGGAAAATCTAAGTGCCAGAACCAGATCTCCCCCTTGTGGCACATAAACAGTAAAAGCATGCCCAGAGTTAGTGTCCATCTCCAATTGTTAAGGCAGGTAAGAATTTCCATTCAAGAAACGTAATTCATGCAACAAATTTACTCAATCTGTGGTTTATAAAAAGTTTCAGTGAAGTTGCTATTTACTGAAAAGAGTGGGATTACTTTAGGAACTTCTCAAAGAAACTGCTCAAGAAATCTCAATTTCAAAATTATTGAGCAGTTTCTTTTTCATAGCACTGCACAAGAGAGGCTGTGTAACAGCCAACCGAAACAGTGCATTTCTTTCATTTAAATTCACATATGCTAATTGACCTGCTATCTGTTGTAAACTTTCAGACTTCCAAGAACCCAAGAAGACTGTCACCATCCCCGAAAACGAGTGTGGGCCAGTTACAGTCTGAAGTGTCAGTTAAGTTTACAGCTGGTTGTTTGATTCTATTTAAGAACCAGATAAACTTCCTTCAGGTGCATTCCCTGAGCATGTGTATAGTGTGTTAAACTACTTTTGTTTATTAATAAATTTTGGAGCTGATGACACTTGAAATTGAGTGGTTTGTGTTAGAGTTACTCCTGCTACAGCAGTGCACTAAATTACTCTTTTTGCTTCCTTATGTGCCACTGCAGCATTTTTTTAGCAAGTTTTCCTAGATTGTTAAGTGCCTGGAAAAGTCAAAACGCAACTGAAAATGTGCCTATATATGGTGCAGGGACTCACCAGAAGTTTCTAAAAGCAATGTATAGATGCTGTACCTCAATCTGATTGGGGCAAAAATCCTTAGTAGATATAGACAAGTTTCCGTTTTTAAAATTACTGTGCAACACTTTACGATCATGAGGAAGAGAAATAAACTTTTTAAATAAAACTGATATAGCTGATGAATTAGCAAAAGATCAGCTTCGTGAGACTTTGAAGGTGGGTGAATCTCCTCTTCATGAAACGACACCATCTGCTTGTCGTATTCTAAAACTTGAGGGACGGCGAGACCAACCTACTCCCTTGCTGCCAGTAAGTCTGAATTTTTTCACAGTTCAGGTAACTACAGCTGAAATACTACTCCAGGGATGAGATAAATATTAATGGAAAAATTCATTCAAGTCACTTTCATGCTACGAGAGAAGACAAGATGCACAACAGCTGTGCCAGCCACATCACTGCTGGCTCACTCTACAGCCCCTCATTTCCCACCACTTATACCTCTCGTACAGCGCAGTAGAAAGCCACATGTGACAGAAAACAGAGTACTGAAATTATTCTTTAGGTGTTAAATGCAAGGATGCCACTCTACATATTTTCCACTTACATACAAATCTTTAAAAAAATACAAATATTGAGTTCACTTTATGAGTAAAAACAATGCCATTAACTCTACAGGGGTATAAGAAACACATCTTTTTTTCATGGGAATCTTCATCAAAATAACTGCAAAGCCAAACAAATTTCAGAAGTTTTTTATTTAATGGTAAAAACAAAAGTTTGTTCTTTAAAATAAATTGCTAATTCAAGGTGTTATTAGCTCTTCAAATTAGATACAGTGCCATTTTTTCAGTTTAAGAAAACAATAATGCTGTAAGGAAGATTTTTCTAACAAGGTTATTTCCTCAGTCTTAAATTTTCACAGTTCGCTCTCAAAAGGACTGCTGAAAACAATTATTTAAACACAGTTGCTTCTTACATTGAACTTTTTCTGTGGTTGAATAGAGCGCTCAAATACAGTTCCAGTTCTGATGAGAAGTTAGAAACTCATCCTCAGGTACAACCCCTGTCGCATCACACAGTTTCTACTTCTCCAAGCACACCACGCACAGTGCACGTACACTGAGCGAGCACGGCCTCTACCTAAGGGCCTTTTAAAACTGCACCAAAGCCCCGCTTCTTCCAGTTTGAAAGCTACAGCTCTTTCTACCACTTCTGTGAATGCGGTTTCGTTGAAGTTACGGCCAAGCAAGTTAATAGCCTGACAGGCAACATAATGTAAACAAAAGCATTTCCAAACGCTGTTACTGACAGCAGGTTTTCTTTCATGGATAACTTAGATCTACATTCTACGAGGTCTGTGAACAGAAACACTTGAGAGCCAGCTCTAGCTATAGGCATAACACACTTTTCAAAACATATTCAGTCACTTTACCTAACACATGACATCAAAGACTGCTGAAAGGAGCCTTTGACCCACGTGTGGTCCTTAGAAAACAATAAATAAATACCTCAAAACAAATGCTCGCTGAGCACCTGTTACTACACATACACGACATAGGGGAGTAGCGAGAGCTGTTTGAAAGTTCATTCAACTACAACACTGACCTTACACTGACAAGACACCAAGCATGAAACTTCCTTCTTCAGCAGAGTCCATACATGAACCAGGCAACCTCAAACTACGGTTTTCCAACGTGCTGTTTTCTGTTGGAGACTTATTACAAACACGGTTTTGACCCACCACACTGACAAAGGCTATAAGCACAATTTTTAATCCACAGCTGGACAATATTTAGATTTGTTCCTGTCCTGAAACATACTCACTTCATCTTCTAAAGAAATTACACAGTAATTAGAAAGCGGCAGTGATGCATAGGACTGCTTATTAAACACTTTTCCAGTATGGTTTAGTACTAAACCCATACTAGCAAATGCTGCTTTGTGTGTAGAGGAGTAAGGCTTAACAAACAGCTGCTGAGCAAACAGCTGCTGAACTCGCTAACCGCTGGGCCGTCCAGTCCCACCGCCCACGCTGCGACAGGGGAGGGGGGACCCCGTCCTTAGTTAACACAGGTAACTGGGCACAAGATGTTAGCCTTACAAAACACTATCATCTCCACCAACCGAAAACAGATCAAGTGATTGCAATAAGTAGAAAGACGCTAGTTTAGAACTTAGCAAAAGCCATTAACAGCTTACAGACTTTGCAAACGGAACTAACTTACAGCAAGTCAATTTCTGTCATCTTCTGACTCATGCCCAACGCGTGCCTTCAGTATTGAGGCTCTGCTGAAACATTTCCATTATGAGTATGTTTTTTCTATGCATCCTTTTGTAACACTCAAACCCAACTGGTTTCATAAACTGCATTGCCTTTATAAGGTACATAAACCAGCCCGTGGCTAGGCAAATTGAAGATACAACAATAGAAAAAAAAAATACCCAACCCAATCCCACCTCAGATGCAGTTCTGTTTATACAGTATCTGCTACTGCTTTTAATACTTCTCTTATTAGGTCTGTTCTTCAGTTTCCAAACAGCTCGAACCAGATTATTTTTTCTTCCGTAAGTGCCCTCCAGAACGCAGTCAGCATGCAGAATTCCTGCCGGGTGTCAGCGATAGAAGCTGTTACCAGAGCTGTCTAACCAAGCATGCAGGATAAACTGCAGGTGCTCAGTGCTCCTCAAGATCAGGTTATTTTTTGAAATTTAAACCCAGAATTTTAAAGACATTCTCTTACATGACTGTAGAAAACGTGCATGCAGATACTAAATACAGAGGCACAGAAATACAAAGGAGAACATGTAATATAATGTAAACACTGAACTAGAATAAAGTTATTTCTGAACAGCTGTTGGTCATGACAACATTTGCGTAATACACGGTACTACTGTGGAGGAGGCAAAGTTATAATAAAGAAGTGATCTGATACTGTGCTGTTAATTTTTTTCTTCCAAAGGAGCTCAGCACAATTATCATATGATACATTTGAGTTTACTTGCGTTCCTCTTCCCGTTATTCAGCCCTCTTCTGCTATGAAGCCTGTTTAGCATGAAAAGCAGGGTACGCAGCGCCCCGAGTACCATCTCACGTGTCTGTGACAAATGCAATACTGTAAGCAGGTGTGTGCCAAAAAATGAAGCAGTGGAATGTTTTAACGTGGTAATGAGTTCTGCAGTGCATCCACAGATGTTGTTACTGGAGCTGTTAAGACTCCCACAGTGCAGGTAAGGAAAGGAACTAACTGAAAATGCTTCGTGGCAATTCCAGGTAAATCCTCAGATTATTTCAGGAAAAGGTGGTCTTTTCCAGACTGGTTGTTGTGCATCTTCTAGGAACTTTTCAGAACTTCTTTCAAAAAAAAAAAAAAAAAAAAAAAAAAAAAAAAAAAAATCATTCTCTTATCTTGAGATGTAGAAGAAATAGGAATAGTATATATACGTTTTTAGAATAAAGTCCTTCACATAAGGAGGGAAATTCTAAGTCTTCACAGAAGGGAGGCAGTTCTAAGTCTATTTTGATTAACTTCATCACAGCCTCAGTTCAGTCCCATACCTTGGAATTTGGCAGTCTCGGTGCAAACAAAGTAAGTCCTCAGTTCTCCTTTGCCTTTGACATTAATGAGGCCCCTACATTCACAAGAATATCCCAACTCCTGTAGTATTTTACTCGTTTCTTCTGTGACCTTTGTGTGAAAAGAATTAGAAACTCTCATGAAATTCTTCTGATTATTCACGTTTAAAAAAAAAAAAATCCATCACCAATTAGAAATAATTTCTTAGACATTCCAAGGCTCATACGTTTACCTGGATTTTCCCAAGCTCCCCCGTACTCTCCATTCGGCTAGCAACATTAACAGTGTTGCCCCAAATATCATACTGAGGTTTCCGGGCACCAATCACACCGGCAATCACAGGGCCATGATTTATCCCTGTATAAACAAAAGCAGGTGTCATTACTGAAGTAGAAAGTTATGTGGTATCTGGCTTCATTATTAGCCGTAAGTCACGTGCTTCAGGGAAAAAAAAAAACCCAGATGTAACCCTGCAACATGTTTCCAGCAATCAGTATTACCACTGTTCTATAAATATTAGTACTAGGCTCAGGAGACGCGAAGTGACTCATTCTTTGTAAAATGGGAAGTCCAAGAAAGAGCTAGGGCAAAGTTCACGCCAAAGCACAATTCTTCATTTTCTCCTTTTAATATACAGAAATAAACACTTGTATAATGACAATATTGTCTTTAGTCAACAGTTAATAACAGGGTACCTCCCTCTTCATCCACACCTATAATTTTCCCCAAACTCATCCAGCTGCAGTCTTCCCATTGCTCCCTCCAGTGACTAGAAAAGCCCACCCGCGAAGGAGCCTGACCTATGTAAAAAGCTGGACTAGGCAACACTACCTCCAGCTGGTCAGCATTTGCTAATAATCCAAATGCTGTGTTCAGCGTTAAGGGCTCCACAGCGCTCAGCAATTTACCTCAGTCATCCTACCTCGTTTTTAATTTTTATGGAGCTGCAGAATTCACGTTCTTCACAAACTGAACTTACCAATACGTAAGCGGAAATTGTTAAAGGAATGTCGGTTGATGCCATCCAATTTACTCATCAAGGCAATTCCGTATTCCACCATAATCCCAATGTGAGCATGCTGCCTCTCCTTATCCTACGCAATTCATAACACATATTAACGCTCAAGTTACAACACAGGCTTGTTTATTGTGTCAGGCTACTATTCCAAACCAGTACTATTACTGAATAAAGTATGTATTTATAAGGATGTGACCACTCATCCTTGCAACCGTGCAGAATTGCACAGTTCAACACACATTCAAAATGGATTTAGAAAATCCACATTAAATTAAAATGGCTAGGAGGTGACAAGCATGATACGATTAAATTTTATAATGAATTTGTGTCTGTCTTTTAGGATTCCAGATTTAATTTTACATGGTTTGTATATATTACAGACGTGCATCCTAATGTCCTACACAAACCTGCTGTAGTGAAAGTGAGCCTGAGTACAGAAATTGGTTTTAATTCTTCTGGGTGACAAACAGTTTCAGATTCAGATCTCACAGGACACTTGAGGATTCTCTTTTTGTGCCAGTTCTCAGGTATCACAAAAAGCTTACTGTGCAGTTCTGAGATGGCCTGTGCTTTGGCAGCCGTTCTTTGACTTCCCTATTATTAGAGCTGTTCTGTTATGCATCTAGAAATGTTAAGCTGCTGGAATCAAAGATTAAAGATGTAAAAAGTATGCTGGGGTTACAGACTTAATACCTGCTTAAGAAAAAAATTGGAACTAGGAGATAAATAGTGAATTCAACAGGAGACAATACACTCTTATTATCTTTCTCCACATTTCAGAAAGTCACTCGCAGTGATTTACTTTCTCTTTTATATCACATTACATTTTGTTACTTTGAAATGCACATACATACACACAGAATACCAAAGGCAGATTTCAGAGACAACATACCTGGTTGTTCTCTTGGCCTGGCATAACACTGAGACCGGCTGCTGCCATGTAAGTGCTTCCAATGGTTTTTATTTTTTCAACACCACTAAATTTAGGTTTTAACAAGAGCTGTTTGAAGGGAAAGAAAATAGAAACTTGAGACTTTAATACCATATTTCAGTGTGGGATTTAACCAGAAATCTTATACTGCCTACAATAAGCATTAAACATCTCTAGGAATACTATCGATCACATGAAAGTTAGATAAGAAAGTACTGAGGATTAGTTTCACAGTTTTGCTCTACCTGCTCCTAGGAGAAATAAAAGCACTGAAGTACTGAAATAAAGTTCTGAAATCCAGGACTTTCAAACCATACTACGAATGCATTAGATGATGTAATTGGAAAACCCCATCAGCTGGGAATGTATTTTGCAAGAATGCAAGGTCGAACTCAGAATATTATTTCAGTGCAACAGCCTTCCCCCCCCCGCACCGTCCCAATGCTCACAGATCTAGTGAAACATTTTATTTTGCAGTAAATATGTAATCCAGTCCATTTCTGCCAGAAGCTTAATTACCTCATCAAAATCAGCAATGATTTCATTTAACAGCCGCAAGCATTCCAGGCCTTCTTTATTGACATCACATTCAGTATAAAACACCTTAAAATCTGGTACCGATGCAAACATGACACAGACACAGTCATAAGATTGGTGGTACCAGTCCTACAGGAAAACAATATATTCACACATTGTCAGCAGTCACCTTCCACCACAGGCATTCAAAACTATGATTATGGTTTGTAACCAGTAATCAAATTAGTTTTACTATGAAGTCAACTACAGTACTTTACAGTGGGCATCTCTTATTGTATCAGAAACATTAACGAAGTTGATTTGCCTAAGGGAAAGCTGAGATATCTATGTATCTTAAAGAGTCTCATCTATTCTGGACAGTGCCAGTCTTAGGACACTTACCATGGCTATGAAATCAGCAATATTTATTCTGATTACATGCTGGCAGAATAAGATGGATGTCTTAAAAAAATAAGTAAATCATTATCAATGAACTCCTCACTAGGGTTGTTACCAAGGAGATACTATCTGTTCCTCAACAAACTTCTTTGAAAAGAAGGCCTATCTTCTCTGGTAAAATACGGTCTTTGGAAAGCAGTAAATGCTTTTTAAATATTTGCCAAACTCAGCTGTGTCCTGAAGCTGAACTACCAATTCTGAAAACAGATTTGAGAGACTGACACTAAAAGTTCACATTTTTTGAGGCCATCTGATAGCAGATTCTTGGGTTTGCAAAGGTCTTGAGATACAAACAAGAGGCAAGGAGTGCAGAACCTTATAGTCTTCTGTGTGCTTGTTAGCATGATGTTCTATGTCACAGAAGTCCAATTTACTGTCCTTCAAACATACCTCATTTCGTTTTTCGCCAATGAAATAGGCAGCAACGTGTGCTGGAAGTACATTTTCCAGCAAAAGCCTGTTAACGTTCTCCATCGTTTCAAACTGTTCATGTTCTTTTTTAAACTTATTCTTCCACAGACAATCCAGTCGACAGTAATAGTCAACCTGCAAAGGGACCAAATATGATAAATTAAATCTATATAATATCTCACTTAAAAAATATTAGGCAATTTATTCAAAAAGTGCATAGCAATAAAGTTTCTTCAAGGCCTTTTGAGCCTATACAGTTATGAAAAATGTGCTTTGAGAATGAAGGTCAGAAAAATATGAAGCAGTATGAATGAATGTCATCTGGGTACCCCATCAGGTGTATTTACCAAAATGACATTTTAATAATATGGTGTTTATTTTTATCTTGAATTACTGCCTTGATTTAGGATGAATATTGACATATAAATACAGATAGATCCAAATTGGAAGAATTTGAAAGTTCTGACTTTTGTAATGCAAACACTGTTGAAAAACACAAAAATGTTCCCACCCTTTCGCAGTGAAAATTTCTGCATTATCTATAACTAAGTACATTACCTACAACTAAGTACCAGAATATGTAAAAAATATTTACATATACTAATTTATGCAATACTTTAATGAACAATACTTTTGCATTTTATTTAAATCAACTTGCTGCAAGTGAAAGAAATAACCTATTGCTTTTTAAATACATACCTGTTTTGCAAGTAAAATCAGGGTTATGTAAAACAGAACCAGGTATAAGTTAGTCATTATCCTTGGCTCTTCGATGAAAAGTCTGAAAACAATAAAGAAGTACAAAGTCATCTGTATCCTTTAAGAAAATCCACATGATTAAGGGTTGGTGGGGGAAAGGGCAGAGGAAGGAGAGCTGAGCAGAAGAGGGTGTCGCTGTTCAGACATAGACCACCAATGCCACTGTTCATTTGTGCCAGTGGCTGTCTGGTCATAGGTCCTACCCTCATAATGAGAAAGGATTGTCATTCAGTTCAGTACATGAACTGTGTTTCACATAATGACAAGATGGGTGCTGAAACCTTGTTAAGTAGCTATTGTAGTGAGATGTTCAAGTAAACACAGCTTTATCTTAAGGGAGCCATCTCAATTTCCATTGCACTGAGTGGCAGCTTTCCTCACACTGCCCCATAAAAAGACAGCCAACAAAGCCATGAAGTAGGAAAAGAAACTTTCTTATTTGTGGAAGGAAAGATGACAACAAATAAAAAACAGCAGTGCTAAACCAAAGACAGCCACTAAATCACACCTGTACATAGTTCCATAGAAATCTGAGACGCCACTCATATTTCATAGTAAGGTCGATCTATCTTACAACATCTATTAATTTTCACAAATGCATCAGACTAAGTTCTCATTATATGAATAGCTTTGGATTAAGAGGCTAAATTCAGAGCTCATTTAGGCTTTTTTAAGCTGTGCTGACAGCTCACAGCTAGCCTCTGCAAAATAAATTTATCCTGATCTTCAGCTATGAGACTATGCCGAGAATCTGAGAAACAGACAAATGAACAGTAAAACCCTGCCACATATGATTTCTCTTCAGTATTTTTACAGTTTATTCAACGAGATCAGGTAAATTGCTGTTCCTTTTCAAAATATGTGCAGTAAGTGAGGTAAGTAAATTAAGAGTTCACTATCCTATTGACTAGCAAGGTCTCACAAGCACAGCCTGAGCATCAGACTTTTAGCAAAGCTTTTCTTCATAGTTTAACAGAAGATCAAACTTATTATGAGATTAATATTCTACTCCCTAGTCTTTAATGTAAGCTAAGCTTCCAGAGATCTCAGAAGCCTTATTACAGAATTTTTCAGAAAACACACACTTTCTTTAAAAAACAAAACCAAAAAAAAAAACCACTCTTATATGTTCTAATAGGATTTCCATGTCATTAACTTTACAGAAAGGTTTGTGATGTCTGACTTACATGATTTTGATATTTCAACATACCAGCAAGTGTCCAAAAATCTAATGCCTCCCTTAATGAAACATTATTGTTAATTATAGGAAACTTTACACTGCACCTGGTACTGTTGGCATAGAAGCCCACGTTTCTGTGCTGAAGGGTGTTAAAAATGATGAGGTATACAGTCACCGCAATGGACAGGAGGAGAACTTTGAGTTCGAAGCTCATTTGAAGAAATACCGAGCAAGCAATGAACCCCAATATGCAGCAGTAAGCATAATACTGTAAAAGAAGAATGTAAAGAGCAGTTGCATTATTCAGGCTTTATGCATAAGAGACTTTCGCACCATAGCAAATGCTCCAAGTTCATGATCGTTGTAATTTAAAGAGAGGAAATTACAATCACTTGCTAAATACGTGTAAAGATTTATTTTTATTTGCACTAAAAGGCTGAACTTAATACTTTACTTTTTTGTTAAAGGCAAACAAAATGTTTCAAACAAAAAGCATCACACCAACATAAGCAGTGTCAGATAAAAACTGAGGTGTGTTAACAATTTGTCTTCTGAAGTCTATTAATTTAACCAATTTTTTATTTAAAGTTCAAGACTAACCTCAAGTAGGTTCACAGTCCAGTGAACAGGCTCTGAACCAGGAACTCCAGCATTCTGGTCCTATTTTTGACAGTGCTCCCCCTTTGTAGCCTTACACAGATACCATGCTCCCATTTCCCCCACCTGTAACATGGGAAGACCATGACCTGCTCTCCAACCTTAAACACAGCTCCTTCATAAGAACTTGATGCTAATAACCATTATCAAGCTAGGGCCATTACCCAATGGAATTACTGAAAAATCTCCCCGAGGAATCACCGTTCAGGCATGGTGTCCAAGGTCAGCACGCAGTGGGGAGCATTAGAACTGTCAGATGGTACAAAGTGCGTTGCGCAGACAGGATTGCTACCTGCAGCCGCAGGCACAGGTGTAAGATGCTGAGCTAGCATAGTCTACAAACAACTCCAAAATTACCTCAGCTTCTGCTCCTCAAGAATTTATTTCTCTTTATGTACAAAGCAGTTTCCCACCTGCAATAGCACAGACCTCCCACAGATCTGGGAGGTTCTTGGCTAAACAGTTAACATTTCTGCTGAAGTGAACGGGACCAGAACAATTTATGGGGCAACTCAGGATCAGAGCCTGTATAGTAATGTGTTATACCAACTCTTTCATCCTAAAGGCATTGAGTCTAACCTCCAAAAGGTAATGAACACTCACAGTTACAACCTTGAAGCCAACCCTCTGAAAAAGAAACCACTATGCAGAGAACACAGACATAGGTCTGTTGGCCATTTAAGCCCTTTCACTCTGTCAAGATACTTTACTGGGACACTAGCAAGTACAGCTCTCATCCCTCAGGCTTGAACACAAACATCCTCCTGTTCTACTGCTTTTTCCTCAAAGTTTTAGATCTACTTTTAGGTCTGAACTTTCAAAAAATTGCAAAGCTGTACTTTATTCAGCACAGCAACAGCAGCTGAAACATCTTCATTTCATGAAGAAATTTTCTGCTGTCAAATCACTAAAAAAAGCTGTGTTTTATACAGCAACAGAACCTGCCCGTTGTCAGTGTTATATACAATATTCAAAGGTCTGGGTTTTAAAGTAACATGTATTCACTACTTACAGTTTCCTGAACGCAGGATTGAGTTGTGTTTCCAGAAGGCTTATTTACAGACATGCAAGAACAGAAAATTACCAGATGAGTACAATGTGCATTATATACATGTATCTTATCATTTGCCCTGAGGACTTGAATTAAACGGCCCTTACACAACCTGCTGCGCATTGTTCAAAACCACATCCATCATCTAAAGGGGTGGCCAGGTGACAAAGGAGCATCCCAAACATCTGGATGATCTCAAAAAAGAATGCTACTTTGGAATTAAAGAGATAAAAAAATGAAACCCTCAGAAACAATCCTTTTGTGTCATTAGTAAGTGCTGAATCTATCCTTATAGAAATGCTAGAGAACACCTTTCAAAGGTGCTGAGTAACCAAAATAAGCCAAAACTTCAGCTTTGTCCATGAGTACTCCAGACTCTGGAAAATCCCTAAAAAATGCACAGTAAAGCCATAGCTAATGATAGAAAATATCCTTAGAACTGCCTTGTGGCAAGAGAAAGTCTTTGTGTTCAACGATTTAAAAATTCTATCTTTATAAAAAGAGATCAAAACACTGCCATCTGTCTATATTATACACACCATCCAAGACTCATTTCATTTTAATCTTAGATATTAAGATGGTACTCTACTCACATAGGTGGTATTACACAGGTCATTTGATCCAGTAAAGTTTGCAGGCTTGTTCTTTTCAGTAGTCTTGATTTATTGGAAGAAAAACAAAACAAAACAACAAAACCACCATACAAACTTGTTAGCAAGTAGTCACTAATTTTAAGTTTTTTCTCCATATATTATATAATGATTCCTGATTTGGTTGCCCTTTCAGTGCTACTGCGATACAAATGTTGAAATACAATGATATCCCATATATTTGTATTAAACATATATGCACACAGAAGGTGCAAGGTTAAAATTACCAAGTATTTATCAAGTTTTATCACGTATTTTTTAATGTGGGGTAAAATTTCACATTATGGCTATGCTAATCTAACAGCTAACTGGCACAAACATGTGCTTCTGTCTCACCCCCCAGTTTCCCAGCTGCTGTTCCTGTTTTCTTTCGGTCTGTCCCTGGTGGTGTTCACATGACACCACTGTGAGTCAACTCAAGGATCTAAGCCAGCAGAAAAACAACCCTACAAAAGAAAATGAAGCATCTTCTGCAGTATAGCTTTCAGAATAAACTCCTCATGGAATCAGAAGAATGGCAGACCAAGCACATGGGATTGGACAGACATGACTTTTAGTAGCTAGCTATCAGATAGGTTTAACTGTTAATGTGATGTGTCACATAAAGCTTGCTTAAAAAAAAAACACAGCAGAGTGGTCTTGAGCATGAGGTTACTCCAAAGAGCTGTTTTTCAAATGTAGGTACCCCAGGTACAATACAATACTCAAACTAAAGTTAAAAGACAGGTGCCATTTGCATCTTAGTCTGGCAGTAACTACCCGCCATGTCTATGGTTTTAAAAGAGAGTCAAGCTATATTCTTCCCTTCCCCATCCACATTATTAATAGCTAGTGCAAATAGGACAGCAAACTGCTTAACACTTCTACCCGTTACAGCCAAACATTTAAACCCACGTTAAAAAAAAAAAAAAAAAAAAAAGGGAAAATCTTAGTGATGAGGGTTACAATCAACAGTAATTGTAAATGCCATCTTGAAAGCAAGAAAAGGTAGTGTAAACTAGAACTCAAGTCTATCACATGTACTTTTAATTCTACAAACTAGGAGATTTTAATTTTAATGCTTTTACAGACATAGTGCATTATCCTTGAGTAAATTAACTCACGTTGCAAATCAGACATTAGGAAAAGCAGAAAAAAGCATGGTACTTGATGAAAATACAGGAAGTTACTTAAACTGTGGCTGTTACAGTAAGTTCACAGAACAAAGACAATGTGATTACTTACCAAATTAAAAATGGCTATAATCAGCAAGGCACCTATAGTGATGACTGCTAAAGGAACCCTAAGTAAAGGCATTGTTTCCACCTTTTCGGACATAGCAGAAAGACGGCGCAGGAAAGGCCACCGTTCTGAGCAGCACTTCTGTAAACAAAGTTAGTTTGTTTCAGTGACATGGATAACACTTTGACACATGGGAAGAAATATTTCTAAATATAAAATACTTTTTCTCTGGGGGAGAGCGTCAACAGTCTTCACTGGAATCCTAATTTAGAACTCCGAATCTAGTCATTTGATTAAATGCCTAAATACCTTTCCAAAACTGAAAATAGAGGTAACACTTCCTTATTTCAAAGAAGCTGAAATTTTCTGAATTTCTGATTTAAAAATATTATGATCTGATCGAAAGATCTAGAGAAATGTTACTAGAGTGACAACCTATATTGTATTTTTTAGTTATAGAGCTATAATGTTATATTTGGAAATACATTTTCAGATGACTAAATCAAAACCAATCATAGACAGTCCCCTTTCTTGCCATCCTTATATCTTATATTTGTTGCTATAGAGAAAAACATCTAACAAAGCATGCACTTTTAACAATTGCAAGCATTATTCAAGGATGCTATACCAAAACATTCCCAGCGTAAAACTCAAGTCTGATGCAACTGCAATCTTGGAATTTTTTTTTTCTTTTCTTCAAGTGTTTTTACATATGTAGAAACCATATGTGCATATGTATACACACACCTACCTCTCTCTCTCCACAGATATATATATATATATACACACACACACATATATATATATAAAAATCCATCCACTCATATGTGTATATAAAGACCAGACATACATAAAGTCCACACATGCCCTCTAACTGTACTTTTAAATTAATCATAAAAATCTATCCCATGTACAGAGTGCAATTTTATTTTTTTTTCCTTTATACACAACTTGAACCTGGCTCTGTAAGAGACCGACTGCCTCTGGGGCAGTTTTCCTGGGAGACCACCATCGCCACTCTGCAACGGGATGATAGTGGCATGTTCTCAGCAGAGCTTCAGAACTCCCTCTCGCCCTTGGTCTAGCACAACAGAACTTGATGAGCGTAAGGAACTCTCTAAAATCCATTCCCCCTTGCACTCTTGCCTCCAGATAGTTCTTGGACTGGAGAAGGATTTTTTTTATTTTGTATCACTGAACTCTATGTCACTATATATTTTTAAACAGTCATTGCATACATTTAATAATGCAAAGAAGAAGGAACTACAAATACAAAGCGTAATTGATGTAATGGTGAATTTGGAATTCTAACAGCTATGAAATTGTTACCAATAAATTATTAATATGTTTGTAATTTTCATGGGGCTTTATAAATTATTATGAAAACTGATCTTGCATTCAATATTATTTTGATTTTAATATTGTTTCCAGTATAGAAAACATTGGGATTTACAACCAAAATTACTACTAAGGACAAACATAAAAATAAACTTAAAAAACCCAACCCCACTCAGCAAGTGTTAATGTCTTACTGCTCCCTCCTACCCATCTATTCTGGCACCCAAATAATTATGAATTACAGTGAGAATTCGAAGACATGAAATTCTGTTTCTCACAATGAAATCTTCTGGTAAGCTGAGATTCAAGGCTCCTGTAACTCCTATTGAAATTAACAGCTTAATTCATCATCCTAAAAGATAGACCAAGTTGCTAAATTACATCCATCCACTTTTGAAAATAGTTTGGTTTTCAATTAAATAAACTTACCATACATTTCTCAGCAAAACACACAAACAAAATAAGTAGAATGATGATTGCAACAATGCCAAAGGAAATTCCTAGTTTTGCAGTTCTAAACAGAAGAGAAAGCATTAAACAAACCAAAGTTAAACGAAAAAAAATTTTCAAACCGCAATTCAGACTAATGTTTGCTAATAGCATTTCTCTAAATTTAAACAGAATTTTTCTTCTAATAGCACTGGATGACCATAACATTGCAAAAGTTATTGTTGCACTGTTACACAAATACTACGTTAAGTTATTCTACTCCTCACTGACGGTCTGAACCACTGCCCCATGCATAAACCACATGGAAATTGCACTGCAACAGCCATGAAAAACAAATATGCCATAAACTTCAGAATTATTAAAATCTGCTTTCTTGCCAGTATGAGAAGCAGCTCAAAATTCCCTCCTTGTATCTCTACAGACAAAAGTATCACTTAGCACATTTTAATCTGCTAATCCCAGTTTTTTATTGCTCACTCAGTGTGCTTACAGTCAAGTATTCCTATAAAACAGTATTTCTCACTTAACCGATCATCTCCCTGTGTGTATTATACAAACACAATATTAAAGGAATATTTCTATTTTATTTTCATATTGATATCTAGGCTCTTAGGCCAACAACATGAATGCACTCCTTTATTAAGAGGTAAATTAGTCCTAAGAGGTGTATGTTTCTTAAATGTAAGCCCTCAGGAACTCCAAAAGACTTAAAAGTTTCATGCACATGAGTTTCACTTTAGCCATCAGTTAATTTGAATTATAAATTATTAAAATACTGACACTTACTTTGGCATTATAAACATCTGTATCAGAAATATACAGAGGAACACAAAACTGGCGCATGCGAAGTAACTCTTCAGTTTTAGAATAGGAATGCTGCGATACTGAAACACAGATTATAATAAAGCTTAAGGATAATTCCGGGGGAGGTTAAATTCTATTACATTTTTGTGGTGACACATATATGCAGATCTATACTGTACTACTAAAAATATACATAGAACTAAAAGAGAACAAAAGAAAACCACCAAATGAAATTCATTTGAACATCTGTCAAGAAAAACAGCCCAGTCCAAAGGATAATTTCAAACCTAGAGGGAAATCCATTGAGTATGTAAATCAGCACTTCACAGACACACATAGTCAAAATCCTTATTAAAAAAAGGCTATACACAGAAGTAAACCTGAAGTGTATATATACACACACACTCCAGTAACTACATACAGTACACCACAGCACATTAAACAGTTATTCAAACAGAAATACTACACTGTACCTAACAGATAACAGTATTGATACTTGCAATGAAACAACCACAGAAAGCAAAGTAATTTCATTATGGATGCAGAAAAACTTCTGTTTTTTTTTTTTAAATCTCATTATTTTTGAGAGAAGTTGTTCATAAAGTTGCCAAACTCCTACTAACTCCCTTATGGCAAGAATTTAACCACAGATTAGAGACAATCTCCTTCAATCTACAGAACGGACATTCTGAAGGAAGAATGACCAGCTCAAATGAATCATGAGATCTGCTTTCCATTAGTTACCAAAACCCTCTTTGAATGTGCAATCACCTCAGAATCCAGTTTCAGAAAGAAAACAGTTTCAAATGTATTCTTACGCTGCTCTGAAGTGCAAATCAAAGACCCAAAAGGATTTTTTTTCCTCTTACCAACCTCTTTTTCAAGACCGGGTTCTGCAAAAATCAATGAAAATCCACAGAAGTCGTCCGATTTGCTACACCATGGACTGCATTCAAAGAGACACAAGTTACAAAACGTATGCAATGAGCAAAGGAGAATATGCAAAAGCATCATTGTAGTTGAGACTCCACAGCATACAGGATGAGTGCACCACTGCTTTACACACATTTGACAGTTCTGAAAGGTCTTTACATTTCGTAGCATAACCTATGAGCGGTTACGGTTTTATGTAGCTGGCAGGCAGATCCAGAACACTATCACAGACAGCAGCATCTGCCAGTTACATGCAAAACATAACCCCAGACCTTCCCTAAGATTTACAAATAGGAAAGTATAATAGCAGATGTTAAGAGATGGCTCACTGCCTCCAAAAACTTCCCCTAAATAACATCAGGCCCCTATTAGGAACAGCTGAGGTACAGTGATAACAGCCTTGCTATATCTTCGATGAAAGAGGGTTTTTTCTCAAATTCACTGTTTTACACTTGATATGAATTTAAATACTGTATTTTCAATTAAAAAAGAAAAACAAAACCAAAACCCAACACTGCCTGTGTTTGCCTGCTTTTAAATGCAAATATAAGGCTAAATGCACCACCTGCTACTGATGGACCATTTACCTTCAGTGAACCAGACACTAGAGCAATTTTATTATTACCCCCAAAACTGTGTTTTGACTTTATACATCGGTTTTGTTCAGGACTGCACCCCATTTCCTGGCATTTCTTATTTTAATAAACAGAACACAAACATTAACTTCCTATCCCATCCTACACTGCAATTCAGCTCATTATTTCAGACAGTCATAAGAAACAAAGCAATGATTTTGCTATTTCATAGTACTATACTACATTGAACAGCTAGACTAACCATTGGCTTCTTGGTAGAATAATGCAGTAAAACTTGCATTGTATTCAAATTAAAACCAAAACGGAACTAAAATAAGTAAAACACAAAGACCAAAAAAAAGGCTATACGGAAGTCTCGGTAACTTCTAATTTTTGAGAAGTAAATTTTATATCTAGACTTAAAACTGAGAATGGAGATTATTCCCAAAGAAAAGATGAAGAAAAAAATAAAATATTGCATACTTAGTTGAATTAAGGCCATCGATGGTTGACATCATTTCATCATAAATATCTTCCTCTATCCTTCCCTTCTGAGATGAATTTCTGAGAACAAAATGAAGTCCATGTCACAAATGCTATTCAGAAACAGTTAATGGCTACAGAGGACCATACTGTCTCAGTACACAAGTGAGGTAAGCTACCAGGCAAAAGTTAAACGAAAATGCTCCAAACTGATAAACATATGCACCCATAAGCACTTTACTAAGCATTTCTCTAGTTACTCAAATCATGCAATTTTCAAGACAATATTTTAATAAACTAAGAGAATGTTTCGCAAGTGAAAATCATCTACTTGGTTAACTTGGTGGTACAGGTACCACTGTACACATTTCTACATACAGTGCTGATTTTTTATTACGCTATAGTGGCATACATTAACAGTACTAACCAAAGACATATCTTGTAAAATATAGTATGTTTTTACTTGTAATATGTTAAATTGTATTTATTTTGTACCATAATATTTACAAACAACTCTAGCATCTATGAATAAGAAAACTAAAAGCTGAAGTAGCACAAGTGGTTACAATACATACACGTATACAATATATGAGGTGGTTTGATTTGTCTTCCACTGCTTGTTAGTTCTCTTACTTCCCTACTCCCTCTCATCCTGCTACAGCCCACAATGCAAAAAGGAACCTGAATGACTGAGGGGCCAGTGAGAAGGGGGGGGGCAAGTTCCAAGTTCTTTTAGAGAAACGTTTTTTAAAGGCCAAAGATTTAGCTTAACCTTTCTAATGCAGGAATACTATACACACAGTGATTAAGCAACCATGCTTACAGTACAATGAACTGCAAGAGGAGCACAGGATCACCTATTTTAAGAGAGAGAGTACTTGACAAACCTGTCGGATGTTCTCTGGCGCCCAGTAGAACACAAAGGTATTTCCTAAATCAAGTAAGGAATTAAGAGTAAGTTGCACACTCAGCAAACAGCAAACAACTATTGAAAATAAACTTCAGGAAGCTGCTGAAAACATTTTTATTCACAAATAAAAATCAAGAACCATTCTCAAATAGAAAAGCTTATAAAAATCAACCCTTTTCAGCACATGTTTTCCGCTTAAACAAGAGAGCATTTACTGACTAAAAAAATTCTTAGAAAATAAGTGAACAGATCTTCCCTCTTATTTTTCTCCACACACTGAAATAACTAACATCAGCAGAGGCAAGCAGACTGGAAACCACTTCCACAAACCTGAACAGACAGATACTTTAAATTAAACTTTACTACAGCTATCTGTCCACAGAGAGTAGTACAGCCTTGCTGTGCTTCTAGGAGCACACCTAAAAGCATGTACATCTCCTCCTTTCAGCTTTCAGGAAGGGCTAATGGAAGGAAAACCGAGTTTTCTTACATTTTGAAATTTTAAAAATCTTAAGAATTCTTAATCTTAAAAATTCTTTACTGATAAAATCCTGTTGCAGGAAGAGCATGTGGAAGGACTGTTTATTTTCTATGCATTTTAAGTAAATGTTGACTGCATCTGGAGTCTGGGATAAATTATCTTTTTTCCAAAACCACATGCAGTGAGCAGGACCCCAAGACAGAAAAATGTCAGGGGGAAAAAAAAAAAGGTCCTTTCAAAGTTTTAGTTTGAAGGTTTACTATGAGTATAGCATGCTACAGATTGGCAGAGTTTGTGTACTGTTGCATTCTGACAGAAATAGTTGTTGCACAGATACCTTCTTAGTTCTGTGTACACCAATAGTAATAGCAGAAATTCAGCCACAAAAACCATGTCAGGTTTTGAGCTTTGCACTATAGGCACAAGGAGCATTCTGCAATTGTAGGATGACAATCACTACTTCAAACCTCACCTTTTTTCGCCTTCCTTGTGAGCTTGAGGAGTCGCTGCTCACACTTTCTCTGTGGTTCAGGTGGGCAAAGGGCCTGGCTGCTCCCCAGGACTCTAAGTAACGTGTCATCCGAACAGATGCTCGCATCTTCAGCCCATCATTAACTCTTGTTTTAGGGAGATGATTATTTGATACGCATTGTTTGGACTAACAGAAAAAGCACACTCATTTAGAAAACAGAAAATGATACAAATTACCAAGAAATGAAGCTCTGTACTGGAGTAGTTTAGGACTATACAATCTAGTAGGACTCTAAGCACATATCAGCAATGTGTCAGCCAACCTCGATTCCTTTATCTCATTCAATTAACGTGAGCTAAAAGCCTTCATTTGCAACACTGCAACATTCAAACTTCCTGGTTTATTTATGATGATGCGAGAGATCGCAGGATCTTATGACTAGATAGAATTTCCCTTGCTGTTGTGCTGACTGCAAGGAAAAGATTCCCAATTCCTGAGCTAGGGTGTATCAAAACAGTGGTTAGGAGAAGATCCCACAAATTACAGACTCAACATCAGATTATATCCCTACGTCACAGGTGAAGAGTCAGGCAGTATGTACAGGGTATACAGCAATACCCTTGTGGGTCCTCAAGGAAGCTAAAACTACAGAAGAAACCAATACATCAATGACTGGTTATTCTCTAACATTTCACAGGTATCTGCAAAGTGAGCAGGGACCATTTTAATAGACTTGGATCCTCATTCTGAGAACATGTGCTGCGTACATGTAGGAAGAGTTGCAGTGTTGAGTACATAAAACATGCAACAAAAATAAGACTGACTTCTTGCTAATTATAAGTGGCCCTATACTGTTCCTTCCTATAAAGATCCTGAAGGAAAGAAGTTTGTCATTTTAATTCTTTTTCTTCTCAAATATTTACTCATCAACCACAAGCCCATTCAAAATAGCAATACTCTAGGTGTTTGCAGTTAACAGGCTCTCAAGGGGCAACAAACAGTTGCTAATTTTGCACCTTGAAAAGAAGGTGAATCTCACCTAAGATAGCGAGGAAGATGTCAGAAGCTATTTAACAGGGAATACTTTGTCTAAAAGTGGCTACACAGTACAGGTAGTCTTTCATTACTTCATCCCACCTTTTGACCTGGATTTGTGAAAGACACACTTCAAGCAAATACAGTCAAATATGTATTTTTACTCTAAGTGGACCACATAAGAGGTTTCAGCATAACACTTAGTACCTTCAAGCTAACAGACATGTCGTAAAACAGTAGGATGTACTTTCAGATCTCAAGTCCCAAATCCAAGCTACTCAGATGACTCATACCATGCTTTCTGAATAAAAAAGGTGTACGCACCACAGACACCTATGTACTTAAAATGTATGTATATGTGTGAGTAAATATACATGTTTAAAAACATACACATACCCTTGGATCAACCACTAAGTAGGTTTTGATATTCATGGATTCAAGGTAAGGATCCCTCAGGTGTCCATTCCCTTCTTCTACTTCATAAGCTTTGCCTAGGTGATTTAATGTTGCTTCAGTGATGTGAACACGGCTGAGAAGGGGAGAAAGAACAAGAGACCCAAACACTTACAGAAAGATCACATTAAGCATTTCATTTACATTTCAATGGCCACTGCTGACATTTCTGCTTTTCAGCCATTTTGTCCTTTGGCAGCCAACTGCAAAATCCTGCCAGGGCTTAAAATTATATTTGCAATCCTTTAATGCAGTTCTTCCTCACACATCTTTCATAGCAAGTATGTTAAAAAACACATCCCAGAATGAGGTAATAGCCGTATAAAATTGAATTAAAATAAGGAGACACATAAAAGAAACAAGAAGAAATGTGATCAAAGGAGATCTGATAACTGACAAGACAGACAGACTCATAGGCAGGTTGTTTCAGATGGCAAGAGCTGTGGGGAAGGCTCACAAACAAAACACAAGCAAGGATTGTCTCATGCTAGAAATGAACGAGGAGCGGGGGAGATGGTTACGAAGTCGGGACAAAAAAAGCTGGAACAGGTTTTTTGACAGACTTCCAGAATTATCATCCTAGTTGACTTTTCTGACTGAAACAATCTGAAGAGAGCATAACACAACAGCAACACGCTGCTAAGGGGAGCAGCTAGTATTTTTCTGTACCCATTCACACTTTCCCTTAAATGTTATTTAGTTCAGTATCCCAAATCACATATTTCCATATAAATTACAAGTACTATCTTTCCATAATATTTCTCAACAAGAGACTTGGGCATGTTCATAAAACAGCATTTCTTATCTTAGATTCTACTTTCTCATTGTTCATCTTCGCACAGTTTTTCTCACTTGTCTTTGGCATGGAGGAGTCAAACACTGTGCTGTTGGTCCTACAAGTCAGCACAGAGCTGGGAATAGAACACTTCCAGAATGGAAGCTGCACACTGTCATGTGCAGCACTCCTGCCTAACTACTGTGACCAAGGGCATCGCTGTCCCATCTGCCTCTACTTCCTTATGCTGCATGTAGGTTTGCCTGAAGGTAATTTAGCCAAGAGCTGGAGACCACTGGCTGTGCCTTCCCACAAGGAAGAACAAAAAATTCCTCGGTACTTTTGGAGCCAAAGGTAAGCATTTTGGAATACAGAGGATGCATGGTTTTATTTGTTTACTGGTAACGGTCTCAAAAAAATGTTTCTTTTAATTGTTACCTTGATTATGTAGTTTTGTAATTGAGGTGGCCCTTCAGATCTGTAATTTTAAAGCTTGCTCTAAAGCATCGTCTCCCATCAAGACTGAAGCATACTGGGTGATGTCTGTATTAATTGAGCCTTAAAAGAGTCCTGTATTGCAGCAAGTTTTCTGTGGCTTTCCACTTATCTCAAAGGGCAGTACATTTGTTCACTATTCACCATTGTCCATTTTCCCAAGCTTCCTCTCCCCTCTTCCCCAAATCACACACTGCCGTAGTACATTTCAGATCTTATTGCAAACTTTTTTCCATTTAAATTACTATGCTGATGATTTCTCAGCAGTTACTAATGCTTGCTGGATTCCAGCATCAGCACATAACCAAAAGCCGCCTCTCAAAGGCAAGCTGTGACATGCACTATTGCACTTACCATGCTAGTACAGAATACCTAACATACTGCACTCAATTTCCTATGCTAACAGGCCTGAGAGTAACATATTCTCATCTTCCAGGTATATACGTATTAGAGAGAATTAGTCATAAATGCTTTTTTGATTTTGGTTTTATGCTAGTCCTTTCTGCTTTACTAGTGTATTACATTGTTATGAATGCAAAAAAAATTTAAAATCGGAAGAAAGATGAACAAGGATACTCTGTCAATGGAAATAAAATATTTTTAAAGCTAGAAGTTTTCCTGTGTCCTTTCAAAAGTCTTTAGAATACCTTCATTTACAGAAACCCCAAACATACATACTTCCTTTTTTAAATAAAAACCTCAAAGTGCTCCTAATGACAAAACTTCTGCTTCCAAAGTAGCAGGACTAGCTAACATTGGAATGGGGAATCCCAGACACATCCTTTTTCTGCAGAGCAAGAAACAAATGTAACATAACATTTGCATAACTAACAGGAACGCCTCCTCCCTGTGAGGCTCAGTCTTCCACAAGTGGAAGGTTTCCTCTGGCTAGTTCTGAAACACATGATAAGCAAGTGCTAGACATGTATAGATATAGGAAGTATTAAGCATGTTCCAGAATCAGCATGTCAGCCTAAACCAGCGTTATTCTTTAGCAGATTATCAAACATAAGCACAATGAATGTAATGGAATAATCAAAGTTTTCAAGATTAGGCAATGATCGTAAATGAGACTAAGAAAAGTATCTGTTCATGCCATATTCAGTCATGTTCTTTGCTTTACCAACCAAAGAAACTTTACTGTATTCTTGTTTAATCATGCTGAGTCAACACACTAAGAGACTCAACCTGGATGGTATTGCAAGTGTTAACCAAGCTCCAATTAGTTTTCTTCCCGTTTCCGTCACCAATACAAGAAAATAATTAAATATTCATATCCCCTTATCACTTTGCAGGAATTAATTTTTAAGTTACAAGCATATACCTAAAAGCTGTCTGAGGCATTGAAATAATAAGAAACCCTATAATGTCACTGGTTAGAATCACTTTCCAAGAGAAACCAAAACAATGCTTAAACATATATCAACATGAATGCCATTCAATTAGTAAGTATTAATTTGCACAGACTACCAAAAGCCTATAAAACCATAGTCACATTTGGGAATGGAAAAAAAGTTTCTTAGCTGAATTCTAATCCCCAAGTTCAACTTAAAAAATAGAAGAAAAAAAAAACCTTTCCTAAATGAGGAAAATACAAAATGCTGGTGTTTTTAAAAAACATTTGTCCTTTTCGATGAGCATCTTAAAAAAGGTAGCATGAATATCAAGCTCAGACCCAATCCTCTGCACTGCTGAGGCAAGTAATCTGGCAAGTTACATTACTGCTTTGCCTCAGCTCTTCCACTCAGGACCACTCGCTTCCCTTCCCATTCTGCCCATGACAAACACTACACAGAGAGCGTACATCAACAGCTCCAAACTCTCCTTGCTTGGATGCTCCTACTCAAGCTGCATTTTAATTTGTTTGTGGGGGGTTTTGGGGGATGGGGGTGGTGGTGAATATAGAGCCAATATAAATCAAGTGGGACTGATCAATACAGAAACAGGAAACACCAGGTAAATATGCAGCTTTGTCTTGTCGCCATAAGTAGTGTATCTATTCTTTAGCCAAACTTACAAATACAGCATTATCCCTGTGCACAACATGAATTAACTAAGTCAACGTCATGCACTGCTGAAGGAGCACAAGTTTCTCTGATGAAGGGAAGGTCAAGAAGCAGTCACTTGCCTAAGAATAGAATTTTATAGTTCATTGAAAACAGAATCAGAAAATATTAACATTTTACAGCTCTAGTAGGTACACATTTGTCCTGTTTTCATCATCCCATTATGAGGATTTGTGCCACAGCACAGTTACGAATTCCAGACTCATAAACCAGGATTATGAAAACCATGATGACAGAGTGAATCAGCACCAACAGGGAAGATCCTCACCCAGGTACGCCCGCAGACTCCATGCGGTTTGCTAGGGACACATCATGCGACCAGACGTCATACTGCCATTTCCGGAGGCCAATCACACCGCAGAGCACGTTCCCAGAATGAATACCAACCCTCATGTTGATATCCACTCCTGTGGCTTCTCTCACCTGCCTATGGAGGGAGAAGGGTATTAGAGCATAAGTTACACGTTTGATTTTTTTCTCCTCCTCCTGGAGATCTGTTAAGGTTTAGTCTCATTATACACTTAGCACAAGGACAAGAGACAAACTTATGATCTAATGCGTATATTAGCACTACAGCTAATATATATACTTTGAACATTGGCAAAAAAGAAGTAGGAACGACTTTATCTTCATAGCCTCAACACATTAAAAAGTCTTCTGTGCTATACTTACTTTATCGCTTCACACATATCGAGTCCCATTTTAACACAGTTCCTGGCATGAACTGGTAAGGACACAGGCAGGCCTGAGACACAGTAGTAACAGTCTCCCAGGATTTTTATTCTCATGCATTCATTCTCCTGCGAAATTACAGTAAGCATATTTAACAGGAAAAAAAAAAAAAAAAAAAAAAGAACTACAAGTAGGCTAATGACACCAAAACTCAGACTTGTCTATATCATTTTAAGAAAGTCAGACTTCATTCAATCCTTGCTGAAGCAAAGCTTACTTCTCTTTTCCCACATCCAAATGCCTGGATATTGTTCACTGGAATGTAACAGAAATGACCACTTCAAGCATTTCTGAAATAAAATCATCTTGCTAGTTTCAGAGTTTATTCTTGGAACTGTGTGCAACTGAAAAACTAAATAAAAATAACTCTCACAGAATTTACCATCTAAAGGATGAAATCTGCTTATCTATCTTTTAATCTTTGTCTCTATTAATACCTGAATTATAGGTAATTGGTTCACCTTTTCCTCAGTTTTTCATGGCAGCCTCATAAACAACACTGTGCAGTGTTGTAAAACCTACACAGAATTTAGGGAGAAGTAAGGAATTAAGGTGACCAACCTTTGCAGAAGCAAAATGGGCTTTTTTGTTTCAAATATAACTGAAGAGGAAGCTTGCACACACTACAGTTTGCTATCGCTAATTAAAAAAAAAAAAAAAGGCAATACTACGTGGCAGCAGAAAACTTTTTCCTAACTGTGCAACAGAGGATACTGCTGTCCATGACTGACTGAAGACAGCAGAGGGGAAGAGCAAAGAGCTCCTCACACTGTCTTTTGTTAAAACATTACTGAAGAATTTTAACTACAAACGTTGCAGGCAAGCAAGGGCTAATTCTGCAAGGCTTTATAGCGTTTGACTGATGAGTAGAGATGGCTTAATTTGGGCCAGCTGACACCTTCAGCTGCCCAAGCCTCCCTGCTGTGGCAACAGCCCAGCAATTCTTCAATCAACTCCAAAATCAGCCCAAATCAGCAGCAATTTACCAGACTAAGTTGTTCTCCCTCATTAGTCAAAACCTTAAGAGAACATCCATCGTTCTCCACCATCTTAAGCCATCAAGTAGGTTCTGAGCATTGCAGCAAGTGACAAGCTTAGATAGCCTTGTGCTTCAGTTTCAGAGATCAGCAGGGGAACCTAGCCCTAGATTAGAGCTGTTCAACTTCAGTATCCAGCTCAGTGTCCAGGTTAGCCATCGACTTTTATGAGGTAAATTTGAGCCCACAACATTTTTACATTATGGAAAAGATGACTGAGAATATTCCCCAGCAGAACAAAAATAACACAAGACCTTGACTCACTAAATCCAGACATTTTTTAAACTGTGCAATTTGCAGACAGGAGTGACAAATTAAAACATACCACTCAAAACCTGGAATCTTTTCTACTTTTGTATCTGAGGAACAGTGGCAAAAAATGACCAAATGTCTTTAACCTCAGCTTCTACTTTGGCATAAAAAGTTCATGGCAACTAAGATGACATGACTTATTCTGTATGGTCTTAATAGCTGCTTTGCAACAGTACAATTACAATACAGTTGCTATGACTCTCTTATTTGCCAGTACTTGAAGTTTTAACAGCCACTGAATTGATATAAATACAAATATTAGCAATGTCATTTAGTCAAAAAGGTTAACTAGGATTTTAATCAGTGATATATTTAAGAATTTATTCAATGACATCCACAAAGGTTTAATTAAAGCAATTTCACTCCTCTGCTATATTAATAATATTAGTTTTCCCACCTCTTCTGAAGAATTTATAGAATTTCACAAAAACAGTATTTTCCAAGTCCATTAAGTTTCTAATTTGCATTCAGTCTATCTAAATACAGTCAATTATGAAATCAAACCAATGTCTTTAAACTATGGAAAGTTTTGACAGGTAGTTACTAGTCTTGACCTATGCTTTACCAATGCTAAATTTCTAGAACCATAATTTGGGTAGCATTTGTTTTTTTGACATCACATAGCATGCAACAAAATGCAGCATTTATTTTCCGAAAGCCGTATTTGCCTCATAATACTAACAGAAAAATCAATGGATATGACAGAACTTATATCCAAGATTAGGGTCAGTTTCAGAGGGTAACAGAAATCATCACACAGAGTCAATCATGCAAACACGTATATGATACATTCCCTGTAATCTGAGAACTCAAAAACTGAGTTTCTGATTACAGTTGGAAAGAAGTTAACCTCAAGCAGCACTTGGAAGTGGTAAGTACTGCCAGCCTGAAGGGTCAGTAGTGAAGGTATGTCTTAATAGGGATGGACCATTTTAACCTACTTCCCATTCCTACATTTTCTGCAAGTATCCATTACTAATTATTACTCCTGAGCTAAAGAACTACTTGGTCTGATGCAATATGACTGAATTTATGAATTCAAATGTGTGCTTCAGTGAGTTCTCAGTTTGTAGAGCCAACAATCCTTCTAATTGAACACAGCAAAGCTCCTCAATAGAGCTTATATACAGTACCTCTTACAGCCCTATTCAATCATTTATTGTCATCAGGCAATTCCCTGAACAATACAGATAAACCCCTAGACTCGAGAATTGGTATTACAGTAGCAACTTGCTAAATTTCCTATTTTTGTTTTAAATTCTGTTTTAATGTTATTTCGCTAGTTAGCTTTAAAGCCAAAGCAGTCTTCCCTTCCTGACTTCAGAAGCACTAACACCAACTGCCTTCTGACTTGGGGAAAAGACTTCTTTTTTCCAGTGGTGGTCTTTAATCCTACTGCACAACAAAACGAAACACCCACCTTTGCAATCTGATCAAACTTTCCAAAAAGTTCATTCAGCATCACTACTAGTTCCTTAGGAGAGCAGTCACTGGCAAGGCGAGTAAATCCTACAATGTCTGCATAAAGAATGCTAGACAAGAACAAAAGGAAAAAACAACATAATTGAAATACAAAGATATGTCTATTCCACAGTCAGCTTAAATATTAAAACACATTTAATAGAAAGCATCTCTCTTTTTGGAAAACAACTCCAGAAGAAAGGGTTCAAGTATCTCAACCGATTTAGAAGACAGCACATCAGTTCAAGACACATTATCTTCCCACAACAGGAAAGAAGCTCACTTCAGCCTGAACATCTATCTCCAAATTTTAATTTCACCGGACCACATCCTCCGTTAAGAATCAGTAGCTTATAGTAATACAATTACTTCTACAGTTTCCACTTACCTAACATTTTGGTGCCTTTTTACATACAGACTGTGGAAGTTGTTGTCATGTGTTTGTCTATTATCATTAGTTTCCTTTAATCGCTCTATGATCGCTAGTTTCATTTCCATAGAGATATGTGCTGGCAGTATGGATAAAAGCAAATTTTCCTAAAAGGAGAGGGGAAAAATTAATGATGCAAAATTCTTAACACAGTAAATTTGAAACTGCAGGATTTTAGTGACTGCAGGAAGGTATTACAAAAAATAAAAAGCCTTTATTAAAATAGCTTTTGAGTAATGCATGTCAGGTTTTCCAGAAAAGACTTTTACATTTCTGTTCTCAAAATCACCAATCTTACAGTTAAGTAAGGGTGTTGCATATTTTTTTTCTTTTGTTCCTAGATGTGACAGCTCTCTGTAACTATGAAACACATGAAAATTCAGTATTCAGTGCTACAATTTCTGGATAAATGAAAACTTATTTTGTCCACAGATCTCAGTGTTACGTTAGCATTGTCTGATAAAGCTTCTGTTCTATAACAAACAATCTATGCAGTATTAAAAACCCTGGTGAATTCTCAAATGCTGGAAAAGCAGCAACAGATACAAAAGCGTCGACAACATGCTGCTTTTGCTTAAATGAACTAAAGCTTCTGTTCTATAACAAACAATCTATGCAAATGCTGGAAAAGCAGCAACAGATACAAAAGTGTCGACAACATGCTGCTTTTGCTTAAATGAATCAGGAACTGATGCCACTGCAATAAAGTCTTTTGAACTGAGTGAGAATACAGACTCTTCAAAAACCAATTGCATTGTCTGACTAGTCAAACAGTTTTACACTGGCTTTGACTTAAAAGTCTGTTCTTCAGAGAAGACCCTTCTCAGTTGGGCAGAAAAGGAAGACAAAAAGAGAGTGCTTTTAACCCAGAAGGGCTCTAGTGCCCCAGAGACAGTTACCACAGAAGCGGAAATGCTGCGTGGAGCAGCTACAGGCAGGAATTTTTTCAGATGACATCGCCAGCAAGGTCAACACATTGTGTAACTGAGTAAAACGCTGTCCCTTTGGACCAAATCTTTGTCCCCTTTTCCTGAATACCCGATGCAGCAGTATATAGATGGCAGTAAATTGCCAGGGTTACTTAAACCAGTGCCTGCCACCAAAAAGAAATGCCTTGGGATCACAGTGGGAAGAGACAGTCCTTGAGCATCAAGTACCAGCCTACACTAGTTACAGACAGCAGTTTACTTCGACACTGTCCCCAGAAATAGAAACACCTCCTTTCCCTCCTCTAGCATTTTAATACTAGGAGAGTCACCCTTGGGGAACGATTTAAACTGACAGCAGAGCCCCAGTGAATGTAATGGGGCCATTTGAGGCTGACACATGACACAGTTTTCAAGGAAGTGATGATGAACCCTGAACTGCATTTCTCACATCATTTTCACAGAAGAAAAGTGGGTAGCAAAAAGGAGACTCAAAACTGTGTGACAAATTACAACACAGATGAAAAGAAAGTTGTCCATAGGCTTAAGCACATCTACACTTCAAACAAGCAACCATAAAAAAAACAACCAGCAGACATTCAAGTTGCCACACCGCTCAAAGAATGAGAGCACGCTGCCTGTGTAAGCTGATCAGATGCTTCCCTGGCTGCTGTGTGGGGAAATTCTGCCAGGACTTTCATGCAGATTTGTCATCTCATCTCACAAGATTAGCATCAGAGGACAGATCACACTAGCAGTATGGCATTTTCTTCTTTTCAATTTGATCAAGTCAGCCACTTTTCAGCCCCTTCCTTTTATCTAATAACTTGGTGGGCAGAGAAGTCTGTACACATCAGCCTTCTAGAGCTGCTGTTCTTAATCCTACTTATAGCAGGATAGAAGAGGAAAGGCACCCTAGTTTCAGCTTTGATACTTCTTTACAATTCTTCCTCAGTAAGAAACTCATGTTCCGTGCTTATTATTTAAATACCACTAGAGCTCATGGGAAAAAACCTGTCATACTCAAATACTGTAATCTATTACATAATTTTTTTTCTCCCTTAGGTTCCAATTTTCTCCTTCTAACACAAGAAAAATAGCTTATGAGACCAGAAAATACAAGAACAAATAATACTTCAGAATTCAAAACAAAAGACGTGACCAAGGGAAACATGAAACTAACTCCTGAAATTACCTTACAAGTATTTTTCAAGGCATTAAAGGCATGTTCTTTTAAGGTACATTGGGCCAGTCCCAGTAACATTTTACACTAGGAAAAAAATAACTAAAATAACTGGCAATTACATCCCTGTTACAAACACTGTGATTTTCATACAGACAAGCCACAGAGAACAGCTTCCTCCCTTTAACTTCCTTCTTTTGTTACAAATGGCACAACTTTTATTTTTGACACTAGGTGGGTATCACAAAGATTGGACCAAGCCTTTCAACATGCATTAGTCACCAGCCTTATAAAATTATAGACTTTGGAAATGAAAACAAGCAATTCATAACATGAATTAGTTCACTCACTTGTTGCCTCTTTTCAATCTTCAATTTCATTCGGACTTGAATGCACTTTAATGTGTACCTATACAAATCCCACGAAGCAACCTGCATTTGGCGTTTGTGAAATGCACCCATCAAGTTACCACAGAGAAAAATGACAGCATTGGCAAGTAGCTGCACAAGAAAAAAAATATTTACCTACTGCAGAACAGTCATTGATACTTCACTAATACACACACTAGTCCCTTGAAAACAATCAATCCCAGGCCACATTCCAATTTTTCTCTTATGCTATCACACAGCAAATCATAGCGTTGCAATTAGCCAGGATGTGCCTGGGAAATAAAAACTAAACTTCAACAGTCACAGACATTCCCGTACGAACATACAGGAGTATAATGAAACAGAAAAATCTGCCATAACGTTTATTTGTAGGCACCAGTGTTTGATTTAGGGAGAAACCAGTCTACAAACTCATGCATCAGCGCACTGTGTGAAGTCAGACGCACACCGGCATCAAAAGAGCTGGGGTGCTCCTTTGAACACACCCTGTTAATAAGTGTTGGGAACCCTGAAAGTAACCAGTAGCACTCCCAGGCCCTGCTGACTCCCCAGGGCAGCAATGGCCCTTTTGATCCACCCTGTAGGCAGTGCCAGATGAAGTTAGACAGACCCATCTGAAACAGCACAGATTGGGAAGAATGATTGTGACAAAGTTTGTCATATTTTGAGTAACTTCCTTAAAAATTTAACTAGCAATTCTGATTCTTCCACTTAAGTCAGAAAATCAAAACAAGTTGTAGATTAAAATAACTGCAATATTATGAAGAGCATGCAAAACACATTGAGCCCAAGCTCCAAATCCATGAATTTGGAACATCCATGTAGAAGTTTGGAACGTATCTAAACAGGATAGTTACGCCAATAGCAAATGGTAATACAACTAGGGTATTTAATTACTTAACCAAGTAGCACTTCCTTACCTGAAAAAGAAAGGATTCCTTATTTTCCTGAGAAGTCGTGCTTACCACAATGCTTAGAACAATAATATGGGAGAGAGCAGAAAGAACGCTAATTATGACAGCACCTCTCATCCCAAAGGGTAGCATGGTATAAACTGTGAAGATTATGAATAGAAAGAATGGCACCTTTGGAAAGAAAGAGAGAAAGAAAGGAACAAACAAAAAAAAAAAAAAAAAAGAAAAAAAAAAAATCACACATACACATTATTATCTGCCTGCCAAAAATCACTACAGAACAAGGAGGAAAGTAGCAGGATTCTTGCTCATTGTCAGGCTGAGCAATTAAATATTGACATTTCAAAAGCACAATTAAAAACATAAGGACAGTGGTAGTCCTAAAAATCTTCAAGGGAATTAGCAGCTATAGATTCATAGATAAGACAGTTTAATATGACATACCACCTTTAAGTTTTTCCGTTGTCCTTGCCCTTCATCCTTAATTTATCCATTACAGCTAAAGCCAAATATCCAACCAATACTTCCTGGTGCTGACACAAGGAAATTATCATTATTGCCACTAACTACATATTTAGCTGCACAGATTTTACAAAACACACAATACATCTGAACTACTGGGATCAGAAGGAAGGTCTATAAAACTTAAATCCGTATTTATAGATTTGTTATAGTGTTTAGCTCATATATATGGAAACAAACAACCCTGATCAGAGGAAAATATTGCAGTGTTTCTGGCTCAGCTCCATCTCATCATTGCAACTCAACTTGTGCCATCCCAGACACAAGCTTCCTTCAAGGAAGTCTCAAGGCCCAGACTGCACTGAAATGTTTTGCCGGAATAGATAGCTTGGTTGGGACAACAATGAACAAACAAGCAAGCCAATAAAAGTTTTCATTCAACAGAAGTAATTACTTCATGTTCATCTTTATTGTTTTAGCTGGACTAAAAAAAAATAATATTTTTCTGCCATAGTACAACCCCTATCACACAATGTTCTGCACGCTGTGTAATAGTTTTGTAAGCATGGCCATACTTGCATTTAAATAGTAGCTTTAATTAGTGATAAATTCATAACTTGAGATAAAAGTCTGAAATGAACCTATTCACTTCTACTTTCTAATCTAGGATATCCTTATATTTTAGGCTTTAAATCAACATTAATGAGTTATTACCACGTGACAAAACAAGACATTGGCTTGCAGCATTGAAAGCAGCAAAAGCAAATCTTGCTTCGTTACATGTTTGTATTTATAGTTCAGAACATAAATTTTGTTTTTTCCTAAGGTAATAGCTTCTTCCTTGAGTCAAAAAATACTGAATAGCAACTGTAAATACACGGTGCTGGATCCAGGCCATAACACAAATCAGATTTTGGATGTTTAGCTGATAATTCTTATCTATCTTTATTTGAAATAAAGAGGGGAAGGGGAATAGTCAGTAAAACAAGATAAAAAGTCATTTTTATTTCATTAAAAACTCTTCTGTTTACATTATGAGAACTTAGGAGGAGTTTCCTACAGATTATGGTATTTTTGGCATCATGAAATCGCCCGTCTTCTGATCAGAGATACTAAGCAATGAACTTTAGCCACACCCAGCTATTCCAGGATGTGTCATTAATTCTTATTGTTCACTTCACCTCTCCCATCGATTTGAAAACATGCTCCCTAGGGCACACCCAGGTCTAGAGTCCTTTATACATTTGCTTGAACACCACATTGCCCCATATAAATTAACAAAGAAAGTACTATTAATGAGAAATTCTCTCAAAGATGAATTCATAGTAATTAAGATTTAGTAAAAATCTTGAATAAAAATGCAATTAAATTGCAAGTTAAAGATTCAATTCCCACACAGATTTATGCAGTTAATCAATTTTCTCAACTGAACTGTATTTTCACTATAATAAAGAATGCAAACTAAAATTTACTATAATAAACCAATAAAACCAATTTAGGGAAGTGAACCTAAATCTCGAGAAAAAAATATCATGCGGTTAAAACATTCAGAAGAAATACAGCACACAAACACATTCATATATACTGACTACCAGTTCCGTGTAAGCACCTGAACGAACAAGATGTACATACATACCTGTTCCCACAGTTGATAACCATTTTCTTTTTCAAAGAGAGATACATATCCTACGATTAAGAAGCAAATCCAAATCATAACTCCAAATAACGTTAGCCATCTCCGAAAGAGGGATTCAATACATAAAAGTAAGTACATGACTGCAAATATGACAAGAGCAGCACATACTGCAATAATGAAGGGAAGATGATAATGTGCTTCCTGCAAAGGCAAAACAAAGTGTTATATTTGGTTTAAATGTCCCATTTTGAAAAAAAAAAAAAAAAAAAAAAAAGGAAAATGTATCTATACTGTCCTGGAAACGGGATAGCTTTAAAATATGCTAACCTGAGGTCCTAAATAGTCTAGCTGTGGCAGCATTAACACACTGATATTCACACATACAGAGATAATATATACTACTATAGATACACAGTCTACCCCAGTTCCACCATTATTATTTCCCAAATTAGTGGGTTTGTGTTTGCCTTTAAAGCTAAGTTCTAACTATGCTATATCGCACAACACAGATGTATCCAGAGAAATGCATTTAAGGAGTTTATTAATTATTATTTATTTATAAGTTCATTTTTAGCTTTGCTAAAAAGGAGAGTAACAGCGCTTTTCCTAAGTTTTACGGGAGATGACTTGTAACATACAAATAGTGTTGCTACTTCTTTCGTTTTTTGAGAAATAAAAGGGATACAAGTGTAATTGGCAAGATTAGATTTGTTGCTAAAGAGAGACTTAAAGACACTTTATAATGAAGCACAGTATTTGGAAAGCAGTATTAGAAGGCAATGCAGGATTATAACAGCTCATTTATTACCTTTTACAACATTATCTTTAAATCAATTCCTTTTTACCAGTTGTCAACTGGGCTGGCTTGAAGAATACCTAATCTCTTTACAGAAAATCACATTACACTACACAACAAAAAATTCTGAAAGCTGCATCTTCCCTATGCCTATAGGATCCCTGCTCTTTGCTAACTAACTATTGATTCAGCAGATCACCTGTTGTACTGGGAGATTACTGTTGTGTTTTTCATTGAATTATAGAATCGTTTAGGTTGGAAAGGACCTTTAAGATCATCAAGTCCAACTGGTATTATTAACCATTTTTTTTTTACCAAAAAAAAAAAAAAAAAAAAAAAAAAAAAAAGAAGAATGAATATCTACAAATCCTTAAAAAAAAAAAAAATCACCTCAGGAATTCATAAGCAGTGAATCACTGTATTATTTTACATTTCTTAGATGGCTCTAAAAAGAAAATATGAGAAATGCAGGACATTTAACTTGCGTTCTTGCTTCTTCCTTGGCTCTTTTATTACTTATTACTATAGTAGCTACCATTTAGCCTAGATTATGATCTGTTCATAACATATAGGAAGGAAAGAACAATCCTTACACTAACTATCCATGTGTCTGACAACACTGTCTCCTCTCTTGCCTGTCCCTTCAAAAACATACACAGCATTACATAAACAATTACTTTATTTCTTTCAACATTGCAGCTTTGATACCATGTGACTCAAAAAAATTATTTAGCCATAAATGTTTTGTGTGCTATTATAATGATTCATCATCATCTTTGAAAACATTGAACACAAAGAAGAAATTATACTCACAGTGACAAAAAAAATTATAATTAGAGTAGTCCAGAAGATGATTGCAATGAAGAGCAGCAATAGCAGGAGTGGATGTTGCTGGCTTGTATAGCGGTACTTCTCATACAGCGGGTCTGATATCCTGCAGTCATCACTTTCATTGAAGAAGTATTTACCTTTAGCTGGCATTTTCTCCCAGGTCGGCTGCTATTTCTCTCAGTTCTCAGTGTACACAATAAGACACAGCTGAAGCAACTGCTTCAAAGAGAAGTTTGGTCTTTTTGCTGCTGCCTCTGCTATCTTTAGGCACACCGAGTAACCCACGTTCTCTGCTTTTACTTCTCATGAGCATTAACATCAGATTTCCAATGCAATCAAAAGCAAAAGAGTTAGCCTCCCCAAAACCACGGGCGATTCATCATCAGCTCTATGCATGAATCTCTAGATCAACTTGTATTTGTGTAGATAGGAGCTTTTGGAGTCGTTTTTTTCTTTATTATTATTTTCCAAATCTCTAACTCCTTTCTGTAAGCTTGAATCTCACTTCCTGGGATAAACTCTGCAGAGAGACAGTATTATTAAATTGATGTATTCAGTTAAGTGTACACAGTGTTCCCCAAGACCCAAAAGGGTACATTCCATAAACTTCCTATCTGCGTGCTCTAACCAGTGAGCAAAAGCTGTGGGGCGGGGCCACCCCTCCCCAGCAGCCGCAGAGGCAGGGCTCGGGCAGCGCTCGCCAATGGCTGCTCTGCGCACGCCACTGCACCCTTCTCTGGCAACTAAAACATTTTCATATAAAAAAACGTACTAAATTAATTTTGTTTCCTTTTGAGCAAATGACATAGTTACCATGAACATGTTGTGTAACTGAATACTAACAACTCTTTTGGAGTGATGCGTGTGCCTGTGCGTATGTGTATATATATATAAAAGCTTTAATTACAATACACATCGTTTGTATTCTTTTTCAAAGCACGCACCTTAATTTTTAAGCAACTCTTTTTAATTCCTTTCACACTTTAAAGGCACAGAAAATGAGAAAATAACACTGTCCAAGCCAAAAATTCATTAAACTTAAAAAAAACCCAACCAAACCTTAACATCTACTTCTGTATATTTCATTCAACTCTAATTAATAGTGTTTCCAAGGCAATAGGTGTGTTCTGTTAACAATGAACATTAACAAATGAACTGATGACCAATGTTTTTCAAATCGATTCATGAATATAGCTCACTCAATGCCAAGAGATGTAAAACAAAAAAAGCAGGGGGATGGGATGGAGGGAAGCATAAAAAATAGGATTTCAGAAGTCTTATTAAAACTTGATAACAGGACAACAGCTTCTTTGCCACTTGACTGCCGTCACCATGGTGCCCAAGGCCATTGCTCTGGGGAGAAAGAACCCACTAAAAGACCTGTAGAAAAGCCAAATCCTAGCCAGTTACTCTCAAAAGGCAAAATGCTTAACCACACACGTGTTTAGACTGCATTCACACTACAAGCAGAAGTGGTGTTAAGGAAAAAGTTTCAGAAACCATACTAAGTGATTTAGCCTATGTCAACAGACCCAAACACTAGCACACTACCCAATTTTTAACGATCAAGCAGGCAGAAACAGATACACTGATACTGAGACGACAAAAAAAAAAAGTGAACTTTCGCAGCAAAATGAGTAACTACAACTTCTTGCCCAGAGTATATCACAAACTTGGGTTAATCACAAAAAGAGTAAAGACCCTACCGCATCACTTTTAATTGAGTAACACCCAGAATAAACTCACATGTGTATTAAAAACTGAAATAAAACCAAAGACATCTTTCAATGCATCTTTCCCTTGTATAGCTAATGGTACACCTAATACGTCACCTGTACTGGTTATTACCAAGCTTTTCTTCATAATAAAAGGCCTCCAATTTTTCACCTGAAAAAATTCTTCTGGTACTCATCCCATCTGCACATGCACAATAATGCTCTTGCAATGGTGTGTGAATGCATCTTAGAAATCACTGACACTTAAAGGAGATGCCAAGAAGAAACTGAAATGTTCAAATCACACCCTAGTGCATTTTCCAAGTTATACAGGTGGCTGCAGAATTACTTCGCTTGAGTGTAGGCCATTTTTTTCTGAAGGAGAAACTATCAGAAGGCGTGCACATGGGCAAGTATTTTAACCTGAATTTGTCTTTCAGTAACAAAGGCAACTTGCTATAGACAGCGGGAAGGTTACGACTGTGATGCACCAGAGAGGCCGACAACTCACTAAACAGCCTGTAGAATTCCTTAACCATGCGGGTCGGGGTGCAGGAACGCACTCTGCCTGATGCGATCCACTAGACGTAAGAGATGACAGGCTTGCTGTCCCTCTCAAAGTGTATTTTCAGAATAAAAACAAATGAAAAAAATTCTTTAATATACTGGCAGAAATATGTTTTTGATGGTAATTTTTATGATAACAGGTATTTTGAAAGGAAGCTTTATTTTTCCAGTTAGCAGAACCAAATCCATTTTCTAAAAATATTTATTAATAGCTAAGCAGTAATATCTTCACAAATATGAGAGACAAGTTAACTGGTCTTGGGCTACTTAACATTGAAATCCAAGAAAAATGACTTCACAGCTTGCTTTCTGTAACTTATTCTTCTACATCAATGAAAAAACAACACCAGGGACAATCTCTGTTCTACAGAACTATACCGTGTGGCTGTGGTTCAGTTATCTAACATTCAAAAGATTAAAGAGACGTCAAATGTCAGCTTGGAACTCTCTCTAAATATTTTTTAATAAAAGTTTTACAGGACACCAAGTTGAAGAGATATGTCTCTTCAATGGTTTAATCCATTTTAATAAAAATAGAGATTGCTACCTTAGCAATTTGTTTATTCCACTGCTGATCTTTGTAGACTTACAAGTAAATACAAATGACTCCTGGGTCATAGCATTTTCTTCTCAAAATTCTAGCAGGTAAAGAAATCTCCAAACAGTACTTTACTGGTTTACCAAGAATCTATAATTCACTGCATAAATGCTACTTTGAGACAACTAATTCAACTCTGAACCAGTTTCAGTTTGCATCCCATGTCCCACTGCCACTACCACCCCCCTTTCTAAAAAGTACCACAGAGCAACTTGTACTGATGGAACACAAGTTAAATATTTTTTAAATTGCAAATTACTCGCAACACACAAAATTAGCTACTTGAGAATCATGCAATTATGCATTAGTTGAATAAACACATTTTACATGTGACAAACCTAATGACCTGCCAATCATCATCATACAATCAGAAACAGAAATATACATACACACATATTAGTACAGGAATTGTATTTCAGCTCCAAAACCACTACAAACACTTAAACAGCTTTTTACCTTTTTTTTTTTTAACATAACAGAAAGAGGTAACGCCAGTAAACATACAAGACAAACTTTTGTTTAAGAAATTTTAATAGACTTTGCTGAAAGACACCACTTTTTTTGCCCTTCCCTCTTCTCTGAATTTTTTCCAGCAACCTTCTGAAAACATAGAAGACAAACTTGAGAGAGAGAAAAAAGATTCCGTCTCATGGATGGTATCACACACTAGTAAAATCACCAAGTTAACACACTCCTATTTATATATTTAAGGAACACGTGAGCATTGTGCACCACAGCACCACTTTTGCTTTTCTTGGTCATTGTTTCTTGGAGATTTGCCATTCTGACACCACAGGAGAGGTATGACCCCGAAACAGCAACAGGCCACAAAAACCAAACGGCACTCCCAGAAGCACCGTCAGCAAACACCCCAAGCCAAATGGGGACTGGATCTGGGCTGCTGCCATAAAACCATAGAGCTCCGATCATCAGTTTATCAGGAAAAAGCCTCATTTCTTCAGAAGCCTCCAGTGTGTTCTCAAGAATTAGAAAGGAGAAGGAACAATTTGACAACCAGATTAGTATATACAAGAAACAACCACAGCAGTATCAGTTAGAAACTGCACTGAGAACCTACAGGAACATCTACCAAACAAATACATATGATTTAGTCAGATGTAGGTGAGCTCCACAGCCATCTGCATGCCAATTAATATGAAAAGCTTTTGGTGAGATAAAGAAATTTGCGCCATGAATATGTAAGAACAAACACTGGACATGTGAGAGGCATAAAAAAAAAAAATGGGCAATGGGATTCCTTCCAGAACATTAATCAGAACAGCTACAGCCTTCCAAATCTACTTTGTCTCAAGCCACTGGGAACAAGGTTGTGTTCAGATTCAGCAACAGAAACTTGCCTAGGTAAGTACTGGGCGAAACCTGGTGCACACACAGAGCCACCTTCCACTTGCAAGCAAAAAAAGATAACATCTCTATCTTCCACAAATCTGGGTATTTCTGACTGCTCTATGCTTTCCTTCCCAGAGATAGGAATTTTCAAGCATCACTAAACTCTCTGGTCTCCTACTGACAAAGCCATAGATTTTGTTACAAAAAAATCTGAAAGCAAATGTTTCATTAGGCTACTAGGCTTGCACTGAAGTCCTTTTTTCTCCCAGGCTCATTATAACTGTCCACAGTGCTTTGTGTCAATACACAATGCTTTCTTAAGAATTGACCTGGACTCAACAGTTGCAGAACAGACACGACCCTACTACAGAGCCGATAGAGAACGAGTGTTTGAAAGAAAACTAACTGAAACATGGTATCATGGGCTACACTAACAAGTCACATTACAAAAGTCAGAGAAGCCTCTTTCTTGTACAGTTTGCTCAAGATAAGCAAAAGCAAGTCTCTTCACAAGGAAAACTGATCTGGGAACACGCATCTCACAGATGAACCCTTCACTGAGGCAAAGCAGCAAGTTCAGGGCAGATAAGGCAAATCAGCTGATGAGGTAAGAACATGATTCCATGTGCCTCCAAAGCAGCGAGGACTTCTCTCATTTCCCATCTCCAGCCTTGTCATAAACAATATGCAATGTATCACTGGGCAACAGCTTGCCCCCATGCATTTGCATTGCAGGCATATTTTCATAATTTATTTCCATAATATGGCTAATATTACTAAACAGAGCATTCTTCCTCCCATCTTATTTTCTAAATAGGCTATTACTACTTTCCAAGGCACATCAACACTGTATTTTCCATCCTAATAGCCAACTGCCACCCAAATAATTTTATTAGCAGCTCAAATTTCATTCTCTGGTCAGGTGACCACCTGCAAAATAACATAAATATTTGAGAGACGGAGGCGATTTTTGCCTCCCAGCAATTCATTCAGCCCTACCTGTGCATACTCCAACCACCACAGATGAAGCAAGCAGTGAACAACCAGGAAAAATCAAGTTTATTTTTCTATCAGCTTGATTTTTCTATAAGCTTGAAATAGAATCACATCAAATTCTTGCATTTCACTAGCCCCTTGAAGCTTCTGGCTGCAAAGGTTTTACTTGTCTAAAACAACACTCAACGGGCAAATGCCATGAAGCTCCAGGGTCCTCAAGATGCCTCAAAATATATCAAGATTAAAAGTGTGGCTTGAGTCTTTGTCCTGGTAATAACTAAAGGGTCTTGCCCCGTTCCCCAGCTCTTTTGACCAACAGTAGTTAGCAATCACTATCCATCAGCTCTTTGTTTCCTTGCCTCCAGGGAGTCCCTAGTCCCCACTACATGCTTGGAGCCAAAGGTAGGAGCTGCTTTTCTAAGCACATCCGTCCCAATTATCTCTTGGTCACCCACTCTCCACCTAGACCTCAAGCAAGCAGCAGAGACCCATCAGTTTTCCCCTGCAGTATGAAAGGCATTTGTTTCAGGCACGCTTTTTTTTTTTCTTTTTGTCTTTTTAAAGCACTGCAGGTCACAGATCAGCCCAAGGGCACTGATGCATGGAGTAACTTCAGCACCTTCCTCCCCAGCAGTTGCCTGCAAGAAGCAATGGGAGGGCAGACGGAGGAGGGAGAAACGGGAGAACACTGAAGGCGTGGAGAGAACAGAGCAGAAAGCCACTCATCATAGTGACTTCTCTCTTGAACTGTGGCACAAAGAGCATTCTCTCCCCTGGCAATGCAAGGTGGAGCAACAGAAAGAATGATGTGGTACCTGATACAAAAATCAGACTGATAACAACAAAGTTCTTGGGGTGGCCTTCCTTTATTTTCTGTATTTGCAGAGCACAAACTGTTTTCAGGTGCTGGCTCGGTCGCAGGCTGGGGAGTGGATCTGGTAAACCTGCACCCTCCTGCCTGCTCGCTCTCATACAACAGGATGCACGGACGAGCAGTGATCACGTCCTTTCTCCCCTCTCTTGAAAGAATTATTCACAGCAGCTACTGACAAAGTCAATGCCTTTCCGAAGGGGATCAGAGTATGTTGCAGTTCGGTTCTTCATTTCAAAACTACTGATGTATTCACAAAACACATCCACAGTAACCACCACCTGGACAATTTTTAAAGTGTTTTTTCACTTAGCTGTTAATTTGCCAGGGACTCAGGTCTTGCTCACCTGAAGCTGTCTGTTTACTAAAAACCAGTCTTTCCCATGAAATACTAAAACAAGACCCTAATAGCAAGAACCAAGTGAAGTTGAAGTAGAACCCAGCTCATGCACCCACCAGGCTCTCTTCAGAGCCAATTCACCAAATACAGCAACAGAAAGCTATTTTTGGCAGGTAACTTCTCTGTCAGGGTGGTGAAGTGCGACAGCTAACAGAGGCACAGATGAGCTCCGGAGCTGGCCCAGTGTTTGGAAAAGAAAGGAAAACCAAAAGTAGGAAAACAAGGGCAGCAGTGAGTTGTTAAATTGATTCATCATTTCTCACAGGTCCACAGCCTAAGAAAAGAACACCAAGATACCACTTCTGGAGTTGGGGGGGTTGCTGCTTGTTAAATACCACTATTATTACAGGATGTGCTTTGAGGAAGAGATTATAGTCACAAAAAGATATCTCTCTGCTACTGATCCAGGTAGGACAGAGAAATGCTGACAAAAGATGGCTCGGGAAACTTAAGATTTGTATTTTAAGACTAGCTCACACGCTAAATTAGTAAAAAAGAAAGAAGAATCCATATAACAAGATTGGTGCAACTGAATTAAGTAGAAGGGTTTACTGCTGTTCTAAGGTAGTTTATTGTGCAAACACATGATGGTTCAACCAACAAATCTATTAAGCCTTAGAATTAACTGCTGAGTTTGGCTCAGCAGGTATGGGGGGGGGGAGGTGGCGGAAAAAAAGTCCTTTTATAGTACTGGTTTTCATAAGCAGCAAACTCCAGGGTGTAAAAAGATACATCACATCAGAAGGGAATCGAGCTGTCCTTTGCATCTTTCAAAGTCCAAGGTGCGTGATTATTTCATGATTCCCAGATTCCCTGTCACATCTCAGAGATAGATTTTCTGACTTTAGCTGGTTTAAAATTGAACTTAACACTACAAAAGTCAATATTCCACTTACACTAAGTTTTCAGTGACCTATTTAAAATTCGTGTCTTTGAACACAGTAGCCTCAGAAGTCAGGATAGCCTTTCATTGTGTAAATTCAGTTTAATTATATCAAAAGCAGAATGCTTGTGCAATTATTTATAGCAATAAACCCTGCAATATTAAGCTGTATAAACTGCAGGAAAAAAGCCTGAAACACAGAATATTTAACTTGAACACTGGGGAAAAATAAGGTTTTCAATTTAGATGGGAATAGGGATGGAGAGTATGTGTAAACCTCAGTAATTTCTACTAGAATACCCCTGATTTTTACAGAAATTAAAATCCCTGATATTTTCAGAAGATTTTTTTAAGGAGAAAATTGTATTATACTAGTTAATACTCAGCCTATATTGAAATTAGCGATAAGAAAAAAAAATCAAGAAAGATATGTTTAAACTAAGTTTTTTTCAGACTTTATCATTTAGGATACAGAATTATACAGCAAGAAAAAGTTCTCGCTCAATATAATTATTTAATTACATCTAGAATGAAGTCTCCCTCATTTGTATAGCAATATTTTAAATATGCCTCAACTTTTCTACCTCACTAAAGCAATCAAGAAGCACGCTGCTGACATGACTGAGCCAGAGTACAAGTATGTAACTTGACCCTTCTAACTATGGCTAGATATGCCAACAGATGTTCAAAAAGGAAAAAAAAATAAATCACTGTGAACAGGAGTGTAATGGCCATCAGACATTACTCATTTTCTCCCTGTCTCAGTTTAGGGGGAGTGTTACAGTGCAACACAGAAAAGCATCTTTCCCACCTCTAGGGTAAATAGTGTATTTGCACAGAACAGGTGCAATTATAATATGGCAAGGGATAGGGGCCACACTATGGGCGGGAAGAAGATAAAACCTGTCCTGAGCACGATAAGAAATAGTTTGATATTTAGGTTCAGTCCAACTATAATCAGTAAAAGAGAGAGAAAGCGGCTCAAAAATAGAAACCTCTCTCTCATATCTACAATACTTCCACACTATTGAAATGAGTAGAAGTACACATGGGCAGCTGAAATTCAACTAATGCACTGATGTCAACAACTGCAGTTTCTTCAGCTTTTTATTTCCTCCAGTCTCCATTTTTTCAGATGAGCTAACATTGACATATACACTAAAAATGTGTCACTGAATAGTAGGTAACAGACCTTTAAGGCTGCTCAGAGCACAAATCAGCACCATATTTCTACTGTACTCTGTTATCTGTACAGAGTTCTATTACAGAACCAAATACATTTTTTAAAGAGATTTTTCCAAATATCATAACCAAAATACAAGAGTAAACCATAATGTAAGAACAACATCACTTGTGTCTGCTGCAAAAGGCCAAAATGGTTGTTCTTACCCAAATTTCTGCTTACTCAACAGCATCATCTGTATCATTCCTCAAACTAGTATTCCTCCTGAAGCAATCAGACCCACTGGTAATCTCACTTTGTAAATAAACCTCAGCCCAAGGTCAAGAGATGGACAACGGAAAGAACAAGATTGTGCATCAGCACCTGGAGCAGTGTACTACAGGGTGATATTACAATACAAGTATTTTTGTTAAGGTATAAAATGCCCTTAAAGTTTAAAGCAAAGCCTTCATGCTATTTATGAAACAAGGGGGAAGGGAAGAAAACTGATTAAATCCAATCCCCCCTTTACTTAATGACTAGTACTTCACAAGTACTTTATCAAGTACATGTTTTAAAGATCTTATTTCTATATATTATTTATTACAGAGGAATTTCAATGTTCCCCAAACTTCTTCACGTGTCAACCACGCAACATTTGTTACACCACCACATCCGTACTTCACAGCCAAAAAAACTAAAACTAAAACTAACACTTGCAATAAGGAAGTTCCCTCCCTTGGAGGTTAAGTATTAAAAACACCACCAAGGAGACACTTCTAATAGAAGTGCTGTTCCTACAGTCACACCCCACCTCAGGACACAACAGCAGTCACACACACACACCTCTTCTTAAGAAGTTTTCCAAAAGGTAACATTGGGTTTAGGAAAGGTCTTCTGCAGACTCATTCTGAAATAAAACAATGATAATGGGGTGTAAACCTTTGAACTCTTGTATTTTCAGTCCCACTTGATAGCAGCACACTTCAAAAATGTTAGGAGTTGTATACATATTTTTCACTGACTCAGGCAACATGCCACATAAGCCAAGCATTCATGAGTGCCTGGATAAGCTCTCTCAGATCACAGAAAGAGTGAAGCTGTGCAGAAACAGTGAGAGCTTTCCACAGACAACGAACACACCTCACGGGATTTTTTTTTTTTTCCACGCTAAGTTTTGATCGTCTATTAAGATAACAGAATGTCTGAGCACAGATCTAATCACTATCATTATTCTTGTTTCATCTTATCTTTCATCTTACCATTTTCAAAGGTTTGCTTGACAGCCAGCCCTACTGTTCCCAACAGCAACAGCCTACTGGAAACCTGCACCATGTAAAGCACTGACTCGCCACAGGAAACATGGGTATTTCACCTGGCAACAGCCAAAGTGAAACAGACACTTTTAAATTAAATTCTCCTTAAGCAGCTTTATCCTTTGGATTTGCTGATACTAAGTCCAGTGTTAACTAGTTTTAAAACAGAACTAGTTAATACCAAAAACTTGAAATAATACAATAGTCACGGCACAACTTCAGGATATGGCAAAACTCACTCTTCTAAAAAGTTATGCAGTTACTGCATAGAGCAGAGCAACATGAAGTCCACAGAAGAACTTTCCAAAATAGTGAAGTATGCAGCCGCTACCCCAGTGAAGGTTATTGCTGATCAGTATCTAAGCAATCCCCAGGGCTGTGTGCAGCCATTGAGAAAGCACTTTTCACACGGACTGTAATGCTGAGCTGTGCATAACAGATTACTCTGGGGTTTTATGGCCCTAAATCTTACTGAGACTACTGATAAAAAACATGCTTGTTGTTTACTTACCATTACGGGCCACAGGATTCATTGGCAAAAGCCATATTTCTCCACTCCACTATGGTCTGTTCAATCATTTTGAAATTCCTGCAGTAGAGAGTGCAGCCCACTCAGGTATGATCCTTGACACTAAATCTTTTGATGTATCACACTCACCAACCTGCAACAAGACAGGGAAACTTTACTCCAAGGAACACTGTAAGCATTAAGAATGCTTCTATTTCTTCCCCTCGTAGTTCAAGGAAGAAAAAACTACTCAATCTCTGTCTGCACGTATTATGAACCTTTTACCCAATCAATATAGAAGAAAGAATATTTAACTATACTGTGGCAAGCTGCAGCATGAACGTAACTTGACTGAAATACTTAATGATATAGGGAAATGTCTGAGAAGAAAGCTGACGAGTGATGATAGGTATCATCTTTATGCTAACTGATCCCAATGCTTTTCAAGCAAGGCCTGTGTGACAGCGAGAGATACTCCGCTAAAAATAGGAGAAGAATGTTTTACTAACTTTTACAGCATTCTTGACAACGAAAGCCCTAATTTTTTCAGTAAGTTTTACTACACATAAAATGAAATATCAGCAATTAAAAAAAAAAACACCTCAAGAAGAAAAACTTAAATAAAACAATGTATAATTCAAAACAGCATAAAATATTGTTTGAGATTTTGGACCACAGATCAGCAAATATGGCAATAGAGCAGGAAAATCAGCTAAAAAAACCCCAACGTTCACCCCCTGCACCTTGCACCTTTGGATAAAGGCTTATCTACTGCTGGTGTGGAAATGAAAAGATTCTGCCCACTAGGTTTGCTTGTCTTGCAGCATGAGAAGGGAAGAAAGGCACATTCCTAGGATGTCACGAACTGAAATATCTCTAGGTAGGCACGTGATCAGAAGACATGGTCAGGTTATCATCCTTGAACTCAGTGCACCGGCTCTCTTGTAGGGGAATCCATGTCATACATAACAGCTCTTGGCTTTGTCTTCCTCGCTTCCTACTTTACCATCTTCACACGCATTACAGGAACAACTGTTTAGATGTGACAAGATGCCAAACAAGTTCAATACCTCAGCAAAGTGCCAGGCACTGGTAGGAGGCATGGCTGGTCACTATTCATTGCTGGGATCCAGTACACACTCGCCAGGGACAGGAAGCAAGGAGGGGAATAAATGGTTATACAGCAGCGTTGAAAGAACGACCCAGAGAAGAAGCAGCCCAGAGCAGGAAACTGGAATTAAGATGTCAGTGGGAAACCTGATACAAGCTAAATAGCTCTGCTGGGACAGGAACATGTCAACACCTACTTTGTTGTTCACCCCAAAGCTCCGTCACTAGAGACCCACTTTGGAAATGAAAGGCAAGTGAAACTGCCAAATTACCTGGCACAAAGTCAGAGTAGATGCAAAGTATTTTATTACAAAAAGAATTCAAGTAAACCTATAGTAATTTTCTGAGAAATTTTTGCTAGGATATACAAACTATTTTAACCACCACTCAAAATAGGCACTCCATTCTGTCACAGTAGGTTAAATGTCCAGTTCATACCTCAGCCCTGGGGCCCTTGTGATCAAATCCCATTACCTTTTGGCCAGGAGTTAGCTCCACCTAGCCAAGGCCAAGGGGCATCAGTATTTATAAAATTTAGGTGGAAACTCGAGATGATTCTGAAGAAAAAGGTCAAGATTCTGATAAAGCCTTCTGGCAGCCTTAGAGATAGATGAGAGAGAGGAAAAAACAGTAAGACATCTCGCAGAGTTCATCTGAAAAGGCAGATACAAATCTGCTGTGTCTGTGTGTGCGTAAAAGCAGAAAAAAAAATAAGACTCTCTTTAACCTCTGTTACATGCTCAATATGGACTGCCCAAATAAGATGCTTCTTTACTTTCATGGTATTATATATCCAGTATTGAGTACCTGGTAATCAGCAGAGAGATGCCTCATGTTCCTTCGAAACAGACCTGTGCTGTCTGAAGAGCAATACTGGGCAGTGTACTGGTATTCAGTTGGGAAAATGAGGAGGGTGCCCCAATAGTGAGGGTTCATAGAATTCACAGAAATTTCATAATGCCTTTCAGAAAAATATTACTACGACAGTTTTTAAAAATCATCCCTGAAACAACACTCTTCAGAGTTTTTAGAAGAGGAGCTAAAGGACTTAGAATTGTTGTTTTCAGTGTTTATGAAAGAGCTTAATTGTAGTAATTTGTACGTGCAATGTACCTAGTTAGCTTTTAGAGGATTAAATTAAGGACTATGCCAAATTTACAAAGTTTCACTGACTTTAAAAAATTACTTTATTTTTTAAAGATGTGCCTGAAAACAACTTTCGCCAGAGCCCCTGATAAACAGTTACATGCAAGATTCACTTTTGTTGCAGAGGGATCAAGCTGCTGCTCCCCCAGAAGCATTCTCAGGATCAGGTCCTGAGGACAGAATACTTGCTATCATACACAGACATTATATACAAAGATAATAAGTGAGAGAAATACTTTACACCAAAATGTAAGGGGAAAAAGAAAAAAACAACCAACCAACAAAAGATTCTATCTTTGTAACTGAAGCTCCACAGAGGCACAGAGACCAGTCTACTGATAAGCAGCAAGTTTCCGGAAGTGATACACAGACTAAGTACTTCGAGCCATTTTTTAATCTGCAAGACAGACAAACCTCTCTGCATTCAACACTAACCACAGGTGCCTATTTCCCTAGCAACAGCTTGCAGGCCATTTTCATTTTGAGTGAAGAACATTTAACCAGTTACATTATGAGCACTGCACCTTGCTGCTATAACAGCAGTTGCTCTTCACACCTACCAAATTGTTATTTGCGTAGTATTGAGCTGGTGGATCAATGCTGTGCCTGCTGCACAGGTCTGCTTTGTCATGATTTTTTTTAAAAGTATCTAAACTTTATCAAGCTAAAACAGTTAAAAGGTGGGAAAAAAAAAAACCCTACAGTATTAAAAAAAGGTCTTCCTTTTACTGCCTTAGTAACACCTCTGTCTAGTACTATTTTCACGATTTTTCCTTTGGTTTTGGAGTAGTAGAGCATTAAGAAGAGGAGGACATGACAATAGTTCTTGATTAATTTTTGGGAGACTTCATTAGCATCAAGAAACAACAAATTTCACATAACAGAAACTCCAGAAAAGAAGCATGCGTTATTTCTGTATTGCAAAATCCCAGATTTATCATACTTCACCAAATGTAACACTTGTTTAGAGCAAAGAGTTCCAAAATTGTTTGATTCTTCTCAGTTTTATTCTAGACATCTGTTCACTGATCATTCACCAGCACATTAAATAAACTGTGGAAATCCAGACTTCACTGTCTTTATGGAAATTACACATAAGTTAACAAAACATCAGTTTTGTTTGACTTGGTTTTCTTTTTCAAAAAAGCAGCCCCCTGCACATTTTCCTTTTGACCCAGTTATGAGACATACTTTGTATTCTGACCAGTAGCTTCATTTTTTTAAACATCAGTAGAAATTATTAACAGTAACAGCTTTGACTACTATTTTCAAAAGTGTTCACACTATCCTTACTCAGACTTTCTGAATGGTTCAATGGACACCTCCACAAACCCTCTGTAAAGAAACACTGCAATGCACCAAGGGTTTCTGGTTATCTACTTAGTTTATTTATTAACTAACGTATTAAAAGTATAAAGTTGCCACAAGTCTCAAGAGTTTGCCTTGCTAGTAGGCATAACAGCAACACCAATACTGCTGGAGCTCTAATTTGAATGCTCATCCTGAATATCTACAATTGTAGAAATATCTTAATTCAGTTCAAATTAATCACATTTACACTGCGAATGAAATATTTTACAGGAAATCTCTTGTACCATTTTTGACCAACTTCACTACTGAGTATTCTGAACTGCAATACTGACATTCATTTGAAGTCTTTTTGGACAAAATATAGTGGCATCACATGTACCCGGTACAGGTTTGGAAGTATTTTATATCACATCTGTAAAAAACACATATCATTACAAGTTTTAACTGAAGTATTTTAAAAGAAAAATGTAATTTGTATCATTAAAATACCATGCTATACTCCAATTGTATCTTAACAGGCTGATCCTTCAGACACCGTTTTATACACTGCTGAAGTTATTTCCCTCAGCTACATGTAGTCCATTTTTAAGAACTCTCAATATTTTTCAGAAATGTTTAAAATATATTTCATATTACCTTTTAAAAAAATCAACAATCATTTATAAATAAAACTATTACAAATACCAAGATGCTTCTTTCTACTTTACTGCCTGGCTAACACAGATCTAAAAATCACTTCCATGTTAACCTAAATGACAGTATAAGGAAATAAAAACTGAACTAATGCTTAGCTTAAAGTTTACTTTATTCAAAAACCTCCAAGACAGTTTATTGTAGAAATGATACAAAAGCTCCGGAATAAAAAAGAAAGAAGAAAGCAAACAATATTAAATAAAACTGGCACTACTTCTCTCCCATACCACCTTAAAGACTGCATTAAAAAAACAGAAGAGGAGTCGAGATTGTATCAATTTCTCCCATAAAAATGTTTTTAGAATTCCTAACCTACAACATGAAGGAGCACGCTGACTGTACGTGTTACAACTCACTGAACAGCCTTCAGTTCCCTTCGTCATTTTACATCTTGCTGCATTTGAACTTGGCTACCACTGTCTTACAAATTCACATGAAATTGGATCTTCCTCTGGATACACCTAGGAAACTGAATTTCCACACAAAGACTTGTTTCTGGTCTCTTAGGAGTAATATTTAATTAATGCAGGAATTACTTCCCGAATGGGGGAAGTTTAAGTAAGAGCACATACATGCAGGGCCAGTCTTAGAAGTACTGCCAAAAAGGTCTCCAAGAGTTTCTGGTACAATCTTTCTTGCTCTGACAGGTCTAAAGGTTATGTAGCGCTGCTGAAGTGGTTTTCAGTTTCAGTAATTAGGGGTTTTCTACCTGGTACAAGAAGTTAATTAAGAACTTCGGAAACAGTAGATCATATTTAAACTATTTCACATCTAAAATTGCAACTTATTTTAGTAAGCAAATGCGACAACAGAAACAAGCAACAGCAAGGCTGTTTCAAAGAACACATGGTTTCCGCTCTTGCAGCTGCAGCTCTCCAGCTTCAGTGGAAGCTA